CTATTGATTAAGAAAAATTTATCCGATGAATCTTCATATCAGGATGGTAAAATAGAATAGTGATGAGTTACACCGTCTGTATTAACATCCTTCCCCTCCCCTTCCCATGAGCTTATTGCAGACCTTGAATCTTACTAATCATTTATCAAATAATTTTCTAGGAGTTCCGCTTATCGTCAACACGACCAAGAGTGTATCAGGGGGGGACGTCCCAGTGGTGTGGGAACCTCCTTTGGTAGGAGCATGTCCGGTTGTCAAATACAATGTGTATTACAGAGAGGTTATGTCATCAGCGAGACAACAAGGCAACTGGTACTCGGTAGAGTTGGACGGAAGTCGCACAAGTTGTACGCTTCATTTGAGCTGCAGGAAAGAATACAATGTGTCTGTTACCTCGATTGGCGAATCAGGGGAGAGTCCATTCAATGACAGCAAAATTTGGAATTTCCAAACCACCGGAGGTAATAACCTTAACAAAGTGAAACTTTGAAGTCGATTGCACTGAAGTTGCGGTGGCAGATCCAGATCAAGGGTGGGGGGCGGTTTTTTGTCGCTTGCCCTGCCGGCTCTCCCTCCCCTAGATCTACCACTGAGTTGTAAAACTATGTCAGGAATGTACCGTTAAGTACATCAAACAGTATTTCCACAAAAAGAAAAAATTCTCTCATTTTAAGCGGTTTTGAATGCACGAGAGAGTAAAATTTTAATTTCTGTTGAACACTTGTTGCGATTATTCATCTATAAATCAATCGTAATTGTGCAGCACTTTTATATCTCAAAGAACTACCTTGTTCTAATCCCAAAGAGGTTTACAAATACCATCTAATTTTCTTTTTGAAGGCATTCCTTCACCTCCAATTATAACCCCTATGAAACAAGAAATATCGAGTAACAATATCACCTTATCCTGGAGTCCTCAAACAGCCAATGGGTGTCCGCTGACCATGTACTCAATACACTATCGACTGATTTATCCGGGAGGAGCAGGGGAGTCCTGGAACCAAGTCAATGTCACAAATGTTACGAAGTCAAGCTATACTGTATCGTTAGAGTACGACAGGCAATACACAATTGAAATGTCGGCGTGGAATGAGCTGGGACAGAGTGCAAGGTCGAGGCCATGGATAATAACAACAGCATCATCAGGTACTTAAAATATATTTTTTGTCTTTTCTCCTTATGTTTCTTATGTCTTATAACAAACTTGAACTATGGGCTTGCAAGCGAAGTCTGTAATAACGACATCGTTCGCCCGAGATGATAGAGGGTATTTTTTCTTGGGGCTGAACAGAGCCTTTTTCACAACGAGCTTGTGGAAAAAAAATTGGTCATGTGGTCTGATCGTTCAGGTGAGAGTGGTCCCGGAAGGACTGACTAATGTTAGCAGAGACTGACGTTTCGAAAGCATGAGCGGACTTCATCATCAGAATCAAATGAGGGTTCTTTGCAAGTCGAGTGCCATAAGTGTTTAATGTGCTTGATAGAAATAGCTAAACTTATTAGCGAGAGTAATAATGTCTTTATGAAACATCACGAACATACGTAAATTCTCAGAAAATAGCTTAATTTAAGGAATATAGGAGATGTCCAACAACAAGAGAGAGAAGTAGTATTTTCGATCAATAACGGGAACTGAGAAATTAATGATAAATTTCATCTTGATTGTAGGTTCAATTCATAGGACTGCTGAAAAAGGCACGGTTAAATCTTCAGTCTCAGGCAGTGGTAAAATCCTTTCAACACCATTGCTTGCTGGTTTATTAGTGGGTGTTTGCATCCTTCTGTTCGTAGTTTTTATCGCAGTAATCTACCTGAGACGTGCAGCAAGAAAAAGCAGAAAACATGCTTCTGCCCTAAGGCTCAGGAGGTAACATTAGCCATTTTTGTACTTAAAAAATATCGTTTTGCAAAATTGCCTTCTTCTTTTAATTTAAAATTTGATATCAAAGTAGGCTCATGGCAGTTGAGCGCGGGATATACTTCAATACTACTAATACCTACTTACACTTCAGATCGAAGTCCACCATTTTTACCCTCCATAACTGGGAAGTTCTTCCGGAACAGGTTGTATTCGGGGAAGAGATTGGTCGCGGGGCATTTGGAAAGGTATTAAAAGGCACCTTCAGAGAATCACCTGGAACTGAGGTCTTCATCGAGCCTAGAAATGAGACGGTCGACTTCAAACCAGGAGAAACAGTGGCCATTAAACTCCTGGGAGGCAAGTTGTTCGGACTTTAATAAATTGAGGATGTTTTCATAGAGTTTATAAAACAGAGTTTGTTAATTGACATCAATTGACCTGTAAATCGTTAAACAGCTATTGAGTGCGAGACTCTGCCTTCGAAACGAAACTTCTCTTCCGTGTATTTTGGAAACGAGACATTTTCCAATCGTCAAATTTTGCAAATAGGCTACTTAAACAATCATATCTAATATGTAAAAGGAAATGAAATCTCACTCGTCATTACGGCTCTCTTAAAATGCTGAAAGAAATATTTCATTGCTCTTATTCGCTATAAACACCTGGGCTATACCCCGAAAACACCACACATTTTCCAACCTCATCTGAACTCATTCGATTCTCTCCTCAGACAAGACAGGCGACGAGGCACGAAACCAGTTTTTGGAGGAAATTGAACTTATGAAATCAATCGGCTCACATCCTAATGTTGTTAGAATGTTGGGATGCTGGGTACACTCGGATCCTATCTTTCTCCTCTTGGAATACATTTCTTACGGGGATTTGTTACAGTGGCTAAGAAACAAAAGGATACAAGTAAGTAGATTAGAAAAGTTTCTCGAGAGAATCACATTCTCAGTGTTCTAAATCAATTTTTACTCCTACTTTTGATATCATGGATGGATATTATTTCTTTTGCTCCGATTTTGTCAAAGCTGTCATTGCTCTAATGGTTTCAAACTGATTGTTTAGTATTGCCAACAGGATCGAAGGAACAAGTCACCATAGCAACATTAAATTGCCTTGAAATGCGTTTAATCCTGGCTTCCTGAAACTATAAAATACGCGAGGTTATCGAATCGTAATCAATTTTTTTCAATTGTTTATTATCCCACACGACATTTACGTAGACTCAGATTTTCTTAAATGAACGTGGCCTCAAAGCTCCAATGCAAATTATAATTTGTTTTTAATTTAGTAGAAAAGATAATATTTGTAGCCCCTACCTGCTTTGAGACCGAGAGCAATAGTTCTGAGTGTTATAACTAATCTTTTCCTCTCATATATTGCAAAGAAGAGTTATCAAAAGCATTATGATAACTTCAACAAGCCTATGCAACTTGATGCAAATCTGGTGCAGATTAACGAAGATGAGTCCAGAGAACTGCTATCAAGGAGTGAAGAAGAAAGTGGAAAGGATCCAGACACGAAGGGTATTCCTAAGGCTGTTTCAACCTCAGTTTCTGTCTGTGCCTCGGGTATTGAAAGTGTCTCGAAGGAAAAGACACCCGCCATAGATGAAGCAAAAACTGACGTGACAGAAAAGGTGCAGAATCATTACGAAAAACATCCTATTCAAGCCTCTCTAAGTGATTGTCATAATAATGTGGAACGGGACGAAGACTTCACAGCTAAGGATCTTCTTGGCTTTGCGTGGCAAGTAGCGCGCGGAATGGTTAGTTATGTTTCAGTTATCACATTGTTGTTCTCTGTTAACGGCGTTTTTCGTAAACACTGTGAAGGGTATAATTCTTCATGTTTTTTCGTTGAAGGGGGGGGGGGAGGGGAGGGACGATTGAGGATGCACAATGTAGCAACACAGCTGATAGAGTCCATTATCCCACAGATGTTCGGGCTACTGGACAAGAATGGCTTGAATACTTACGACACCGATTATTAGGGTACAATATTCCCACTTATTATCCAACTGCACCGAGTAGAGCACAAATAACGCGTCCATCGAGTAAAAATATCCTGTGATATTAGACAGTTACGATAGGTTATTTTGGACTATAAAAAAAAACCTTTTTAACCAGTCGGCTACACATGGCACCCTTCTCTGCTTGCTTAGCTTTTCCCACTTTATAAGAAAAGCGTATGGAATAAAACAGTTGAATAATAAATCACTTGTTAGACGTTTTGATGTATAGTATTGCTGATTATTTTCACTCGTTATTTTCTGTTTTGACTTGCCCTGCGAGATTGACAAAATACGGCACAACTCGTAAAAATACTCAGCGAAACTACGCGCCAAAATGTCTAATAAGACATATAAGATACATGTCGCCTCATCCTGTGGTCGCACATTCTAAGACAGACCAGATGAAGCAAGTTCGCTTGACTTGTAGACGCGTAGTCTCAGGGACCTGTCATTATTTATCTTGGGGGGGGGGGGAGGGGGGACGGAGGACTTTTTGGGGGATCACATAGCTTTCAGGGGGGAACGGTGAGGGGATTAGTCGTCCTTAACAGAATATAAATAAGGGACTATAGAAAATTGATTGCCAGTGAAGGCAGGTCGTAAGAATACTATAGATCGCCTTAGAGGGTAATCAGTTAATCCTCTGATTCCCTCCCTCAATATGTATAAAAAAAAACATGAATCTTTCTCTTCTTATGTTCTTTTACCATTCCAGGCGTATTTATCAGATAAAGGATTTGTCCATCGCGATTTGGCAGCTCGTAATGTTCTTCTTGGTGAAAACAAAGTGGTGAAAATTTCTGATTTTGGACTCATGAGGCAAACCCATGAAAACGTTTACACACTGAAGAAAGGGAAAAAGATACCAGTAAAATGGATGGCACCAGAAGCACTTTACAACAGTGAATATACAACCAAAAGTGATGTGTAAGTGTTTTAACAACTGCTAAGAGACCGGAGGAGGGGAAGGGGGATCGGATGATTTTGGTTGTGTCACGTTAATTTACTGATCCCCCCAGAAGGCATCACAAGCGAAATGAAGCAATCACGGATTGCTAATGACGCTCAGTCGATAACTCCTCTACATGTATATCACCATTTGTATCATGGTGTTAGGATATCATGTTTGCATGACCCAATTGTTACCATACTACCACCACCTGTTACCATGTTTATATCAAGTAGGTCTGTACTGGCGCTGTCGCCAAGATTGAAGTCCCGTGGAAAATAAGCGGAGCCTGGAGCAATAGGAAAGATTTTTAATTTTAAGTTTCAATTTTGATTTACTATCATGTTAAGTTTTCTGAATAACATTTAATTTTTCAGATGGTCTTTTGGAATTCTCCTCTGGGAACTTTCCACAATGGGTAAGAAAACGTCTAAAGAGTGTGATACAGAGTACTTTTAAATTCTAATTACTTTGCTGTTTAGGTTTTTCTATCTTTAACCTTTTAACTCCCAAGATCTGATAAGCAATTCTCCCTTTTGACGACAATACATTATTTTGTAAATAACAAAGCCTTTTTTTGTTGTAGGAGGAAACCCTTACCCAGGAGTCAATAACAAAGAGTTGTACAATCTTCTTAAGACAGGATATCGAATGGAAAAACCAGACACCTCTTCTGATACATTGTAAGTGGCAAACAGCACTCTTTTTTACTGAATTGAACGTCGAATATTTTTTTTTTTTGCAGTTGATACCTTGTGGTTGTAAACTGGTCGTGTGGTTTTTTTCCCACTAAAAAGCTTGATATCTTTGTCCTGAGCGTTCTTGAATGTAACTTCATTGATATAAGATAACACTGGATGAAATACATTGAAAGTCCCTAAGAAAAATCTTTGAGAGAGGCGAAATACCAAAAGTGTTTACAATAAAACAGGGATCCACGCTTGTATATTACAAAGGCCTACCCGCTCATTTGTACGATTCCTTTCTCAGATATCAACTGATGTCAGAGTGTTGGAAAGAAGAGCCCGATGAGAGACCGACTTTTGAAAACACCACGAGATTATTAGAGGAAATGATGCAAGAGGACACGCCTTATTTGGATTTTGAATCACTTGATGAGTCAAAGGAGTATTACTGCAGTCCAGAAAAGCTTTCTGATGATGAAGTCACAGCTTAAAGTTAGATTGAGCTTTACGGCAGGAAAGAGGAAAGCTCAGATGCAGAAATCAGCATCATTGCGTACGAGTTGAAAACAGGAGAAGGTCTGAATGGGGTGATGGCTTTTTCAGCTAACGCTTAATTTCTCTCCATTGTAGTTTTCAAAAAAATTACAGTTAACGTTTTTATGACTAATGGTTAAAATTCGCTAATTTATTTCGCCTAGTGGCTAATTTTTTCCGTTTTACTGCTTACGGTTAAACCCATTGAGACACTCTTAGTAGCTAAACGGGTTTACCTCCGTCAGAGAAAGTGTAGTGTGAGTTTTAAATTATCTATAGATCATAAATGCATTGTCCTTCCGAATACTCATTAATTTCCGTAGAATTTGTCCTGAACGTAATCTTTGAGAGCGGCACCCTCTGTGCAGAACAATTTATGGTAATGCAAACTGTTATTTGGTTAACTAAATCATGGTTGACAGTAATATCCCCTGGCTCCGTGTGCTTCAGTTAGAGTTCAGGTTCCGCTGACGTGTGGGAAGGAGATTAAAAGTGAATGTAAATTGCATCCCCCACATACAGTATATGCTCAAGTGAGACCGCTGAGAATAACAAAACAGCTAGGCTCGAGCTCCCGGCCCTGTACTGTCGCACCCTGAATTTCGGAGGCCAAACCGTGACAAAAAGTTAGTATCCGGTTACAAAATGAGCCTCACTCGTGTATAAGGATCAGCCGTTACCCTCATAATCAGATGCGGGGAAATTACGGAGTGGAACAAGGCTTTTGATGAAGATTTATTTCCAATTACTAGTTGAACAACAAACTTTTAAAACCTAAACATTTTAATGATAACTGCTCCGTTCCCTTGATTCTCTGGCGAGTATTGTTTCAGCAGTAGCATCCCCAGACTGCGATAATGGCGTAAATTTCTGTACACAATGGATCAGCAACTTGTGCTACATAAAGAATAAAATAATTGTCTTACAATGATGTACTTTTTTTTTGGAGGCTTTTGATGGGGGAAGGGAGACGATACAAGATATGCAAAGGTGAACCATGGAGATGAGGTTCTTTGTATAATTTTACTCTCTTGTTGAGCGATGCGAGCGCGATGCACATCAGTGGAAACGCTTTATTACTCAATCGAAATGGAATGATTAAATATATACGTACCTCGGTTGACACTGTGAATCTTTGACTCAACGGCACCAGTACCTGTCGGAAAAAAATACTCAGTTAAAGCACACCACAGCCTCTTTGTTAGTGAAGAGCAAAAGGATGCACTATAATGAATGCTTGATACCAAAGAAAGGAAAGTTTGTAGATAGTAGTTTGCCCAAGTGTGAGGGTCGTATTTAGAGGCATTGCACCACTAACTGGTTTACAGGCTCTCGCCTTTCTTACCACCAACTGCTTTACAGGCTCTCCCTTTGCTTGGTTGGTCGTGGGTATGGTGCTGTTTTACATTGATCACGTTCGAGAGACTGAGATCTTTTTTGAAACAGCATCGGAGAGAATTTACAGTTATTTACATAGGAATTATACGGAGATCAGAATCTCATTTCAGTTCAAACCACCAAAGAGGTAGTTCACGTGAAATACCTAAGCTTTCGACTGGGAACAATTCTACGTTAATTCATATTAGGAATCGATGGCAGATAAATATTTACATACCCGGGTGGACAATTTTCTTCATCAGTTTCATCATCCCTAACCAACTCACTTCTACGACACCAATATCTGCAGGAGGAAAAATAAATAGTTAATAGATACCCTGAAATCGTGCGGAGACCGAAAAAGCTGTAATAAAGTGAATAAAATCCAAATTTTGAAACGTTGTTGATGGTATTTTTCTTAAAGAGAAGGATAATCTGAAGCATTTTTTTAGCAATTGCTTAATACGTCGGTAAAAACTCATGATCACTAAATACAATAATTTTTTTTGTCCGTGACCATGACAAAAAGGCGGCTCTACAATGAATACTTAATGGTGAAGTTGAAAAATACTTTCAAAAGTGTAAAGTGTGGGAATAATTTCATGTTAACTGATACAACGAATCAAGAGAAGACGATTATTTAACATACCCAGGAGGACAATTTTCTGGTTGCGTTTTTTCATCCCTAACCAGCTCACTTCTTCGGCACTCTAAATCGCTACAGGACGGAAATACACAGTTTTAAGATGTACAGGAATCTTGTAAAAGGAGACAGTGGGAGAATGTTTACATATGGCAGTAATTAGGGCTTGCTTTCATTTGAAAGTACTAACGAGATACTTCACGAGAGAAAACAAAAATTTTGCTTCGGAATAATTAGGAATCTACAGATAAAGATCTACTTACCCTGGTGGGCAATCTTTTTGTTGAGTATCTTCATTCCTTGGTATCATACTTCTTCGGCACCAATAGCTGCAAGGAGGGAAATAAAGAATGAATGACGCAAAGGAGTCGTGTGAATGAACATCAAGAAAGCTGTACCGTTCTGATTAAGTTTGAAGCGTTCGTTATTTTGCTCTGAGAAAAGAGGCTAAGGAAAAAGAGGAATACGGATTGAAATATGTTGTGGATCTATCATAAGGATGTTGAACTCACGTCCTTTATTTTCGACTTCCTAACCCGACGGCGACAATTCAAGTGAACATTTCACCAGAATTCGACGCAATGGTCACTGATCATAAGCAGTAAAGTTATACACAGATTGTATTTGCCTATGTGGGAGGGTTTTTTCAGAAGCATTGTGCCATAGACTGGTTTCCAGGACCTCCCTTTTCTTGGTTAGTCGTGGGTGTGGTGCTATTTTTGCACCCTGTGCAAGAAGGTGAGATCTTTTATTTAACGGCATCGGCGAGAGTTTACAGATATTTACGTTGGAATTATACGGAGATCAGTATCTTGTTTCAGTTCATACTACTAAAGAAGTAGTTCACGAAAAATACCTAAGCTATCGGCTAGGAATAATTTCACGTTAATTAATATTAGGAATCGATCGCAGATAAATATTTACACACCCCGGTGGACAATTTTCTTCATGAGTTTCTTCATCCCTAACCAACTCACTTCTGCGACACCAATATCTGCAGGACGAAAAATAAACAGTCAATCGATACCCTGAAATCGTGTGGAGACCGATAGAGCTGCAATAAGAAGTGAGTAAGATCCTATTTTGAAACGTTGTTAATAGTATCGTCTCTCTAAAGAGAGCGCATGAAGCATCTTTTTAGCAACTGCTTAATACTTCGGTAAATACTCGTGATCATTTAGTACCAAAGTAATATTTTTGTTCATGACCATGACAAGAAGACGGCGCTACGAATAATTCTTAATACTTAACGATGAAATGTTTCAAAAGTGTTTCGCTAGGAATAATTTCACGTTGACTGATACAAGGAATTAATGCAAGATAACTATTTAACATACCCTGGTGGACAATTCTCTTCTTTGGTTCCTTCATCCTCGACTCTAAACAGACATTTGATACAAAGGAATTAAGCGAATGGAGACAAAAAAATGCTGCACTTTAATGATTAAGGCTGAATCGTTGTTAGGGGTATTTTGCTCCAATAAAAGAGATTTCTGTGTAGTTTTAGCCCTCCCTTGAACTCACGTTCGTCATTTTCCGCCTTATCCCAATGCTGACCACTGGGATGAAGCTTTTGACCAGAAGGATTCGACCTTATGGTCTCTGATTATATGAGCGAGCGAGGGATAAAAAATTGAACGACAAAACTAGCCGTGCATATTTGCATCTTTCTTTATGGGGACCTGAGATGAGGAAAGCGTGTGCAGCATGTTAATTTTTTAACTGCATGGGAGAACTTTAAAACTTTTTTTTTTTAAGTAAGACTCATACATTGATCACTTTTTGCTTGAAGTCGAACCTCTGACGAGGTACCAGATCTCCATCTGGGGTGACGAAAGCATGCGCAGGAAAGATTTTTGTTTTGTTTTGTTTTTTTTCCTTTGAAAACTAAAGTTTATTAACACACGTGAAATACTATAATTTTGTGTTTCCAATTTGCTGAGATAGAACTAATGCACAGGATTATTGACCTACCCAAGAGGAGACGTCTCAACGGCGTCAGACGCCATGTTCCTCGAGCACAAGAGATCTCCAGAGCTACACAAGGAAGATCGTTTATCTACTGGTTTAGCGACCACTTGGGCAACAGAGGACAAACCCAGTACGAGGGCCATTACAGACATGATTTTCAGCGACATACCTTCGAGGGAAAGCATCATGGTTTATTAGTAATCCAAAAAAATTGAATAAAGGCATGATCAGCAACTGAAGAAGGTCGTGATTGTCAAACAAATTCTCCCTTTCAGCATCTTAGGAAATGTTTGGAGAAGCGTCAGAAGAATATGGTAGGGTGTCAAAGGTGAAATCGGCTCAAGCAGACAAACTATCATGGCCACAGTTGGAGGCCGCTTAACCTCAGTTTATTTCATACCGTCACACACATCTTTTAATGTGCTGCAATTTTCGTCGGTCAGTTTCGCTTGACTTAAGTGATCCTAGGGAAATATTCTATAATTAATTCAATTTATAATCTTTGATTCCCAAAATCCATTTCGTGCTGGTATTAGGTGACGTGTGTCCTCAGCGAAGAGAGTTATTGGATGCCTTTCAAAATTTCGAGAAAACGTGTTTAGGTTCATGCTCGCAGATCCATTCACGAATTCACCCTGCCCCTTTATCAGAAACAAATTCCAAACCGCTTGTACACGAATTGGTTTTATACAATCAAAACGAATTAGCTTTATTCAATCAAATAATTAAAAAATACTTCTGGAAAGATATTTTCCGGCTGGTACATAACGTAGCAATTCGTCTTGGCCAAGGGAGATACTTCTCAGAGTTTTAATCCAAACTCGAATGAATTTGCTAATGGAACTTGATGCATGATGCTCAAAGAGTTTGCTTCCCAAAGGTGTCTGAATGGTTTCCTGGCCGAGACAAAACTCTGCATCATAGAAGCCACGAAACCTTTTTTCACAGGTGTTTGACTATACCTCATCGAAAAAAAAAACCGGTCTACTGACTGATGATCAAAGTTCACCCACCTTTCGTTTTTATGGGTTGTCTCGATATAGCGAGTTGATGAGAGCTTATGGAACGGTTGATTTCGTTCTCATAAATTACACCCCTCCAGCCACAAAGCAAATACAATTGAAAAACTCTTTGCCTCTATAGAACAGCGCTGACGTAAAGAAGGGAAGTCAACCGTGCCGATTAGCTACTTGACACTTTCCGTTATCTGTGCCAGGTTACCTGATGGGTTTTAAGGTCGGTTAATTTCTCAATAGTCGCTCATATGTATGAAGAATTGCCACTTGAATCAAGCTGAGATCGACCGATGAAAAGTAGAACAAACTAAGACAGCAACGGTATCAATGCAAATGGCTGGCGTCACGCTTCTTCGAGCCCTAAAGGGTTGCTTATTTGTTTGACCACGCAATGACTTAAGTTATAGTTTGTCCTTAAGTAATGATAGGACAGATGACAAACGACTTTGCAGTATTAGCGATCCATATGAAATTTTTTACGGAAAAAAATCGTCGAGCAAAAAACGGAAAAGAAAAATTGAAGACAAGTTTCAGCATTTTCCAGTTTCATTGACATCCAAGAATGTATGAATTATTCGCAGACGTAATGTAAAAACAAAACAATGTTTAGCCTTCAAGTCACGAAAACTACTTAGAATATACACAAATAATTACGTAGGGTCATATGGTAAAAGTATGTAGGTCTATAATAAAAAAAGGTGAGTAAATTTTCAAAAACCATTCATATGTGAGGTTACAACTCTTCATTAGCTCAGATTTCCATTTCTCTAGAGCTGGACATGAAAACACCAATTACATGATATGTGATCGAAAAAAATATTTTAAAAAATTACAATTGGAAAAATGAGAAATTTTTATTATGCTTTGAATTCTTATGGCTATTTGAAAGACCGAGACCGTAATAATTGAGAAATTCCTTCGAAATAAATAAGGAACTATTCAAAACAAAGTTTGAAATAAAAGGACAACTTTTATAGCCTGATGTTGTGTTAAAGCTCGAAGTGCTTCTGTAAACATCTTATGCGTGCAACATGCTCGACATTTTTATTGGAGTAGCCAATATTGTTATATGTAAGCCCTAAATTGTTATTGGAATACTAAAGAACCGTGTACTTGAGAGCAAGCGTTTACGCAGAAGAACATTATGAAGTGAAAGTCGAGCCCAGACCTCTAGACCTGTTGTCCACCACACCAGTACCTGTCTCCCTCTACCCGCTCGAATATTCAGTAATTGTATGGTTGTTATTGTTATGTTTATGTAAGTAATGCTGCTTGGCACGCAATCAGTGAACGACTTTATGAACTGACTCATGTAACAAATCGTTCTTTGACGATGCTTAATAATATATCGCTAGCGAAGAGAGTTGACTGCTTCGTGCTCTAAAGACACAAGGAACAACAAAAAATTGCAAAAGTCGATTCTTCACATATGTGCATAGCCGCGGGCAAAAAGACATGATATCAAGTTGCTTCCAAAAATCTTTTGTTTGAATTTTGTCAAACAAAAATGCCAAATCCGCCCTTTAATGTGTGGGCGTGAGTATCTTGCGATTATGCATGATTGTTGTAAACCAGCTTGTAACGCGAAATGGAAAAGGAAGCTAATTCCCATTTTCTCTTTTTATAATATGTCAAAACTTGAAAAAAAAATTCTCACATCCGCTTAATAAACGGAAAAGTATATATTTCGTAAATTTTTGGTTAAATTTCGCTTAGTTTAGTTTATCCGGTTTCCCACTAGCCTATGTTTACAACCCAATTGACTTTCTTAGTCGGGTTTTCGTCGATAGATTGGGTTTGTACTGTGAAGGGAACCCGACAGTATAGCAAAAGTAGCCATCCACTGGACACCAGAGGGGACTATAAAGAGAGGCCGACCTAAAACAACTTTGCAGCGGACGCCGGAGGAAGACTTGAAGAATATACATGAGACGTGGGGGCAATCCAGAAGCGGGTCTTTGGTAGGTAAGAAGAGAGAGATCTCGTCACTGCCGCTATGAGCTGACAATAGGCGTGACGGGCAGTAACAAGAAAGATGAATTACTTTTCTTAAAGTCAACTGTTAAATGGACTAATTTCAAAACTTCAGCGAGAAAATTCTCGCAAAATGATAGAAACATTTAAAGTTTTCTTTTACTGAGCTGACTCTCGATTAGCAAAACAACCTTAAGTTAGAAAATAAAAAAACTGCACAAAAAGTCCAACACAAAAACTCAAACAGGTGCAATTGCTTGAAAGAACAACTGGAAATGACAAACGCTTTGTGCCTGGAAGGCTTATGCGAACAAATTTTTTTTCAAAGAAATGTAGATGTATACATAAGGAACCCCTCACTTACGATTATCATAATACAAATCCATATAACAAATTATTTATATTAAAGATGCTAAACAATATCACTAATTGGCTGCTTTCTGCTCTTATGGGCACCTAATAAAATAAAAAAAATGGCGCCATGGGCAATTCATACCCACGCAAGAAACATGATCTATACCCGCAAGCAACAGATATAGAGGAGTTATCAGCCCCCATACTGTTTTAGATATTTGTTAAACAAAAGGTTCCTATGATCAACACGATAATGTTTGTAAGTGGGTTGCTTTCGATAACGCTTGTTTTCAACGCATATGATAAACCAGCAAAAAAGGCGTAACACCAAGGCAGCCAATTTGTATTTTAAAATCTTTCAAGCTTTTCAATCTTATCGCTCAAAGATCTAGTAATTTTGTTACTAATCACTGAAGTGATTTTTTGTTTTAACCCTTCACAATGGTAATATGAAGTCATCGAAAAGTTACGTACCAGGAGCTCATTACTTGGGCTCCTGCATGTACCTTTTTCTGTTCATTTTCATTTTAAAATATTCATCTAGATCTTTCCTTATAATAACTGTATTCACTTTAATATTTCAAAAAACTCGAGGTGTTTTAAATTCTATATTAATAGATACTGCTGGATGCATTTTATGCTCAAAATTTGGCAAATCCATGTAACAAATCGTTTTTAGTAGTGATGTTTGACATGATGCAATACAATTGAATAACCGGTTTTTGCTCGAACATGCGTTTCACCGATTAAAAGAAAATGAGCCATCATCCAGGGATACAATTTGGCACACCAGAAAAATGCATTGCCGCGAGCATAGCCAAAAGCGTCATCGAGTTGGCGTTCCATTTTTTTTAGAATCAGCAATGATGACATGAAGTCATCGAAACGGTGGTTGTGTTGCTTTCGTTCCGGCTCGAGTGAGCGTTTCTCCTTTTTCTTAAAGTAATAAGGCAGTCCTTGATGTGCCTTCAGATCACGTGTTTACAATTCCATCTTTAAAAATCGTATACGCCGATGCAACAGAATATAATGGAGGACTGGTGATGGACCTGTTCCGGCTCCTAAATTCATGTAGTGAAACTAAACGAATAGCCCTATTATCAGGATACAATTGCAACTTAAAGGCATACTCATACCCTGAGCCACAGACGAACAAGCATCATTAAGATAACTTTTGATTCTTTATCGAGTGTAATAACTTTTCAAAACAAAGGGCTCTTCTGATCGACGCGTTAGCAAATTTACGTGTTGCTTGTGATGACATATGTCTATTGTTCGTGTAAATGTACCAGCTTGTAACAGCCAATGCCAAAAGCCTATTTGCTTTTTAAGATGGAACGTTTCACATATATACAAGTCAATTCTCAAAAGCACTGGAAAACTGAACGACGTGCGAAACGCTTTCGAGACAAATTCACCGGACAAACACTTATCTGCACGAAAATTCTTATGTTAAAGATACCATGTTTACTATTACGCTGTTGGCTTCAGAATAGCATAAAGCTCAGAATCACGCACACAAAATTATCATACCAAAAACTTGAGGAACAACCTGGAAAACTTCTCCTCAAAAGTATTAGCTTCAGAGCGCAATGTCGGTACCACTTCCCGGTCTTGATGCATCAAAGGTGAATGAATTTACCGCTAAATGTTGCATATCTTGTTCTTTTTAAAAGGTAACCAGAAGCCAATAGCTGATGTTAGGAGATGTCATATGACCCATTGTAAACTAGGCTTAGGACCCTAAGGTGAAACGCTGAAGTGGGCATGAGATTTTAACCCATTGTTTCGCTCTCTTCACTTGAAAAACCCAGAAATATATGATACTCATCCACTGTCGTTCTGATAACCGCATCAATTTTCCTTTTTAAGGTTAATTTGTAAGGTGTTTGATTAATCAGTAAAGGTTAATCAGTTTTCGGAATAACACGTGCAATGACGTCGTAAATTTAGCCTTAAACGATTTCCAAAAATTTAAACAAAACTTTTTTTTCACTTTTTTAAACTAAATTAAATTGAGTTTATAGTTGAAAACGTGTTAAAAAAAACCTAACCTTACACGTATATTTCCGGAACATCTGGCCTGTCTCATATTCGGATGAAAACAATTGTAAACCGTAGTAACGGGCCTTGTTTTGTTGTAACTGCAGTAGAATCCCGCCAACTCGAACTCCTACAGCAAACGAAAAATGGTTCGAGTTGGAGGGGGTTCGAACTCCCGAGGTACCCGAAAAACGATTCAATTTGTTTTCCGAGTCCGAAATAGCGGGGTTCTGGTTAATATATTTTTTTAATGTGTTGTTAGAAGCGTGGTAAGTTAAGGTCTATGACAAATTAATATTTCTAATCTTGTTTTGATGGTGTTAAATGATATACGGTGATATAAGAGATTGGCTGGGTTCTGCTCCAAAATTCAAGAAATCGATAAAAAAAATAATTTCCTAGGTGCCAAGGATAGTTTACAGTATATAGGTATATACATAGCCGCGAGCGAAAGACAAGAATAGATTTTTCACGTTTTTTCCGCAGGTTTAGGGTAAATATTTGGCATTACACTGTTTCTTTACATTGCTCTTTTACTTGCAGGACGTTTGATAGGCTCATTAACCAGTATAGCGTAAGTATTGATACTAAAAGCACAGTTTTGCTTTTATCTCCTACGGAATTCTTTCAGGGGCAATTGGCAGCACTTTGTCGTGCTGCCAATTATCGGTTCGCCGGTGTGACAACCCATGCGAGATGTTGGGAGAACACGTGAATAATTTCTTGATCACTTGCCTCCGGCTCGTGTTTAACAAACTTTTCGATTCTTGTTTCAATATAGCAAGTGGGTTATTACGCTGGTAACCGATAAAAAGTGAAAACTATTGCTTTTATAGTGGTCCAGTTATTTACATGCACGAGGTCTGACCTAGGCTACCTCTATAAGAGGGTTGATTTAATTCAAGAAATGTCCTTTCCATTGTTAGCTTTCCACCCTCCTGACACTGTTAAAAAAAATTTATGTTCAAATCAAAGGTTCAGCTAAATTTAGGATTGTTAAAGACGCAGTTTTGTTAAACACCGGTTTAACTTTGTTTAAATAATCAGACCACAAGTATATTTCAATTTTCCATTGTTTCTCAGATGCAATAAACGATTGATTTTTGACCAATCAGCGCAAATAACAAAATGGAATCCGAGTAGACTTCCTAACAAACTGTATTTTTAAGCACGAGTGGTCAGAATGGAAATTTTGATCACCTTTTGAATTTCTGTGGTGATTTTAGTGCGGAAAGGCGTCATAAGCACTTGAAAAGTGGTAGACGTTTTTGTCTAATAACGATATTGATTCTCCTCGACGCGCCATGAGATCACGTTTTTACAAATCCATGTGACAAATTGCTTCTTAAAGTAAATGGTTTGAACCCAGGATTATCAGTAGTTCGTGTAGTGTGATCGTCCGGGTGAGTGTAGTTCTGAAAAGAACTGTTGTTGGTGTACTTCTTAATGAGATGCTGTATTGGATACCTTAATGCAATTGACTAACTCGTTACTGATTTGAAAAAATAGTCAAGAAATGAAAGAAATAATAAGTAACTCACTTAAGATTCTAAGAGTGTGTGCTACTCAAAATGTTGTTCGAGCCGATGGACACTTCCAGCTGTACAGGGCAGATTGACTCGGTGAAAATATTTTGAATCACAGTTCAGAGTTCACAAATTACAATAGCATGCAGATGCGATGATGAAAAAAGGTATTGCACGTAGTAAAGGTAAAAAAATTCCAGAAAGTAATTGTAGACTTTTTGCTGGTAGAAGCGGAAAATAGGGATTCATATAGTAACGGTAGTATTGGTATTGAACAACAATAGTTTCCAACCGAAATTCCATAATCAAACACAACACGGCTAATAAAAATGAATGTCGTGCTTAAACGCAGAAAGAAAGGTTTTCTAGAAAGGCTTAATAGATACAACATCAAGTCATAGAAACAGAATCTAAAAGTACTTTGCAAATCCAAATATGAAAACAGTTATTCGGTAAAAATCAGACGATCATGATCAAATTACGGCGTGTCATCAGCGAGGCTTTAGCGCTGAAAATTAATCAAATATTACACCGGATGTATATAATACCTTATAAAGGTGAAAAATGAGAGACAGAGAAAAAAAATCAAACTTACTCTGGTAGTGAATCTCACGAAGGATAGAAGTAAATACCAAGAAAGGTTTTCACAAGGTAGCTTGTAATAGATCTTTGGACCGCAACGATTGCGGAAAAAGTGAGAATTTCAGTCGTTAAGGGTCACTTAAATAGTAAAAGTCACTCGAAAATACTAAGGGCGTTGCCCAAAACGAATAATCTCGAAATATTCATTTCCAAACCGCGAATTTAGCTGTGCGTAGGCATGATAATGCAAATTCTTAACGAAAATGTCCTACAGTTCTAAATTTTTGCGCCATACTCGAAGAATGGAGAAAAAACAAAGAGCCTTCAAAATTAATACATATGAATGAGTAAAATATTTGTGTGCCTTACTGGTTTGAAGTTATGACACTTAACTGTTGATGTTTTGGTGAGATGAGATTCAAGAAATTTTATTTTTTATTGCTTAGTTCAACCAATATAAATAACGCTCTGTTACAAGACATTGACATCAACACTCCCACGAAACTTACAATCTCAGTGAGACGAAAATCCCAAGAATTCGGAGATTGTTTCATTTTTTAAAGGGAATACGATCAAACTGCGAAAATTGTCGAAATGAGTGAAGTCTAAATGCCCTTGGAAATAAATGATAACGTGTGGTTTTACGTGATATGTGGAGGACATGCTTAGCGTCCCAGTCGCTACTTAGTTATAATCAAGTGGTCTTGATAGAAACAGATATGTCACAAATTTAAGAAATAAGAGACACTTTTTAAAAACATTTTTCGACAGTTCTTCTGTCATCCTCAGTTCTGAATAATACAAAGTACAAAGTTGAATTTAAAGTGTGTAACAAAATGCTGATTGAACAAAACAAACAACAGTAACAGAGCAATGTAGGCATTTACAAGGAAAGTTGGAGATTAGGAGTAGGTTTCTCCCATTGAATGTGGATAGCTTCTTTGATTTTAAGTTGAAAAGTTGAGGAAGCGTGACCTAGGATGTTAAAACACTCATCAGAACAAAGAGTGCGACATTGTAGAGAATTGTGTGGATGATTGAAAATGTGGAAGGTCCTATCACTGATCAAGTGCTTACGTACGCGTGTGGATAAATATTGAGAGGTTTCGCCGACAAAGCCAACATATCCCTCGTGGGTTCCGTAAGTGTGTGGTTGACAAATTTTTATGTGCGGGCTGTCATGCCTGTTAATTTAAATTCAACTTTGTACTTTGTATTATTCAGAACTGAAGATGACAGAAGAACTGTCGAAACAGGTTTTTAAAAAGTGTCGTTAATTTTCTTAAATTAATTTTAATCGGTTTAAAGGAGTATGGAAATTTCTCGAGGTGACAGCATCAGGAAAACTCGGCTGTTGTCTTTTTGGGAGATTTAGAGGAAAGATGTTTCGTTGAAATGTAAAACTTTGTTCGCGATGCTGACTTATATCTATCACGCGACAATCAACAATATAATCAGAATAACTTTTCAATAAGGCATTTATCTAATAAATATATCCTTATGGTTGCAGTGGAAATAAATGATAACGTGAAGTTTTAAGTGATGTGCAGAGAGCTTAAAAGTACGGATAAATCGAGAGTCCGGATAATCAAAAATATGAATATAAATGCTTGTAGATAATAGGGACCAGAGAAGCAAGAACAGATAAGCGAAAAATCCGGATAATCAAGGTCCAGATAATCGAGGTTTGACTGTACTACACTTCAGTTTCAAGTGTATTCGCCAAAATAAATAATGGCACCTTTTACGATTTAGCTTTATGCGCCGAATATTTCTTTTAGCGTGAAAATCTATAAAGAGTCTGAACGAATGAAATTGTCACGAGGCGGTTTAATCCGACAGTTGGTAGAACTTACATCAACTTTGAGGCACATTAGTTTTCTGTAACTCAAGTACTTTAAAAACCGCCGTATTGAACAATATGCATGTATTTGATTTAAGCTCAAAACGAGGGTGTAAATCTACGACTTACAAATGATAACCCGAATGGTTTAGGGCTGTAAATACAGCAAGATCTTCCATAAACTGAACAATTTTTGAGCGAGTAAATTGTAGTTAAAATAGAGGTGATGCAAATTAAAGAGATATGCTTCATTGAAACATTTTCATTTGCGTAATGATAAAGGTGATTTAAAAGGCTTCCAAACATTATTTTTACACGTATCTGTCACAATCTGACACCTGTCGATTAGAGAGCGCGTAAATTAACAAATAGATTCCAAGTTGCCGTGCGTCTGTTCAGTAATAGATCACAGATGACGTCAAAATGTGGTAAGAACAAAAAAGTGACACACGAGGCGCAGCTGACGGTGTCACCGATGTTCTTACCACATTTTGACCTCCACTGTGATCTGTTACTGAACAGACGCATGGCAACTTGGAATCCATTTGTTTTATATAACAAAGAATTAAAAAAAGTTTTGATGATGACGTCATCTATACGTCTGTCCTCAATTAGATCATAAGTGAGAACCAATCAGAGTGCGTGCATAACTGAGCTTATTATATAAATAAAAATGAAAGCACATGTACACTATTGAAAAACGACGAAACTAGTTTGGCAAGGACTGTTGCCACAATGTTTTCTTAAAAACAGTCAATGATCTTACGGAAAGTATTATTCACTCTCATCGACAATTAATTAATGTACGAAGATTTACCTCTGTTCATCGAGTAAACGGCGAGGAAAGCAATTGTAAGTAAATTCAAATTTTTTATTTTGAAGTTATTAAAGTTTGCTCGTTTGTTTACTGCAATGGCGTGTGTAAATCTAGTCTTTCCTCCACAAAAACTAAATTCGAATGATACACTTCAACGAGACACAACGGAATTTAATGCGGTCTTTACTCATTGAATTCCTCCAGTTTCTGTTGTGCAATTTACGGTACAAATGTCTAAATTGAACGGACTTGGAAAGACTCACCGAGGGCGTACATTTGTTGTTGAACTGAAATTAAAACTTCGCTCGCCCTTTCACTACGAACAAATTGTTTGAGAAAATTCAGATATTAAATGCATGAAAGTTCCATCGATTAGTTCTACTGTAACCAACTACCTCACGTTTGAACTTTTTAAGTACTTTTTGTGAACGGTAAAAATTAATTGCGGACGGTTCTTAGGCCGCTTGTCAACCAACGTAATGACACTGTTGCTTATACAAAAAGGTCATTCTGAAACCACTATTTTTCCGTCAACCAAAGTGATTTGAGAGAGAGAAAAGAGAGGATTAATAAGTTATTAATTTATCGGTTTGAGGTAGTGACCGACGTTTTTGCTTAAAAATACTGCCCAGCCGGCAAAACGAGATATGTTTATGAAAAATGGCACCGAATTTAGGGATGTACTCGGCGACTCACGAAAGCTTTATCGTTGCCCGTGGGCAGAGATAGGAAAATACTGACCGGTTAAAGAGCCAATCAGATTGCAGGATTGGTTACCTTGCCCTCTAAAAAAAAAATAGATATCATATGCCCTCCCTTTTCGACTGATCTGCCTTCAAAAAAGCTTAACAGATGAACAAGCCTAAGGTAAAAAGGAAATTTACTCACCGTACCGTGTTTACGAGATGCAGTGAAGCTTTGAAGCTTTCGCCACCAAACAGAGAAAAACACTGTTCTTTTACACTGTTGTCTCGTCTTCAAACCTCAAGCTTGCAGACAAGACAACATCGTAAATGACCAGAGTTTAAGTTCATGATTTTTTTAGTTAAGAAGTTAGGAATCATTATAAACAAATAAAGAAGCCTCCACAGTGCTCTGTTCTTTTGTAAAGCGCGAAAGAAGCAGCTAAAGCATGAAAAATAGGCTAGGGGGAAACACGAGACATGCTTCCCTACTTCTTGAGTGGCGTAAGCTAGAATGAACAAATTGGAATTCTTGTTGATATAGTTCAAATAATTTGATTGGTTGAATAAGAATGACCTTGTCAAAATGTTTAAACATCAAAGCTCACAAACCATCAGAGTCTACAAACTGAAAGAGTTCAGCGGGTTATAATCCATCACCTGTGCTTGTTGTTTTTCAGTTTAAAAACAGGATCTGAAAGCGAAATGTGTATTGAAATCCGGTCGAATTGCGACCCATGAAAACCTGCTCGTTGTCAGAATGACAAATGAAGAAAGTGTTTCAGAAGCCTTGTAGCTGGTACTTAAAAGACTGTTGCGTTGGCTTTTTCTTCTGTGAATAAACGAGAGTCGAATTGATAGGAAGATGGGGATTGCTCGAAGTGACAGCGTCAGGCAAACTCAACTGCAGTCTCTTTGGGAGTTTTAGAGAAAAGATGACTTCTTTGAAATGTAAAATTTATGTCTAACACGTTACAATCAACACATGGTTGTGCGTATTATTTAGCTGCATAAATAATGATTTTCCAGAGAGAATAACGGACAAGGAAGTAAGTCATAATAATGAACTGAATCGAGTGGCACAAGACAAATCCAAATATGAAAACAATAACATGGTAAAATCAGACAACCGTGATCAAATTAGCAACTATTTAGCGCTCAAACTCATCAGGTGGCAACTATACCCAGATCGGCATAAAGAAGGTGGAAGATAAAAAAAAGAAGAATCAAACTTACTTCGGCGGTGAAACGCACAATGCATAGCGGTATAAACCCAGAGAGGTCTTCAAAAGGTAGCTTGTAGCCTACCGAAACGATAGCGGAACAACTAGCACAGCTAAGAAATTGCGGTCGCAATAACAATGTTATCTCTTTTACAAGTTTCACGCTTGCAGACGAGATTACACTGTAAATGAGCGGAGTTCAAGTTCGGACAGACAAACATGTTCAACACCTTATACTCAATAAATAAAGAAGCCTCCACTTTGTTCTGTCCTATTGTAAAGCAAGAAGAAAGTGGCTTGAACACGGGAAAAGATTAGGGAAATTACAAGACGTGGTGAAATGTTTTTCCTACTTTGTGAGTAGCATAAGCCAATCAGAATCCTTGTTAGAATAGTGCAAATAATTTGGTTGGTTGGAAAAGACTGATGTTGTCAAAATGTCAAACCACTCAAGTTCACAAAATGAAATAGTGTAGTGAGGTTCGAAACTTTTTTGAAGTTTTTCAGTCTACAAACAAAAACTGAAAGTGAAATGTTCTGTGAAATCTAGTCGCATGGCGGCTCATGAAAACCTGCTCGTTTTTAAAACGACCGGATGTGCTATACTCCAACTACCACACAAGACTTTTCACCAAAAATGAAAACTATGTCTTAAGACACATCCTCCACGAGGCAAAAATATTGCATGACTTCCTGAAGCATGCTCCGGAATAGCTCACACCTGCTTGTTCGGTGAATGGATAAATAAATTAAGACATGTTTTTGAAAGGACTCAGAGTAAAAGTTCCGTAAATTACAATCCCGAATTTGCGAATTTTCGAAGGCTTGCTGCCTTCGGAAGAGTGTATAGAAACTTGATATCAAAATTAATCAGAAAACTGCTCAGGACAATGTGCAACACAATTCTACAGAAGCATTTGAATGACGTTTCCCACCTCTTTAAAAGATTTCGTTTATTTGCCCTTTTTCAAGGGAAAATCTCGCAACGAAAGGTAAAAATTTGTCTTGCCATAGAGGACAAAATCACGATAGAATTTGAGAAAAGGGGCTCCTTAGTCCAATTTAACTGTGTAGAATGGTGTTAAATGGTTTTACCAGACTAAATAACCGTCAAAAACGTTTCCGTGACGGTCGGCTCCATAGTTAAAAAAGAATCAAGTTGATAAACGTCTGAATACCTTAATTAGAGACTAAACAACGCTTACAACTGTTTACTTATTCAGAAATGTGACGTAACTCTTTTATCAGTAGATTATCCTGCAGGGAACTGATGAAACCACTGGCTGCTCAAGCTAGTGATATGAGCTTGAATAAATAGGCTACTTATTATCGACATTATTACGGAACTTACAAATCGATTGTGCGGCAAATGCGCTTTGAAGCTGAACACGTGTCTACGTATCTTTCCATGTGCAGTTAGATTTTAATTGGCTTTCATCTAAACAAAAAAAATGTTCAGTCTGGGCGCTCGATCAAGTGTAGTTCTCTGACTGTTTTCTGAATCATGCTAATAGTGAGGCCATTGAGTAGCTTATTTGATAAAAGAAAAATGTCGTGTCGTGAGTGTCAACCGCCTGCAAATAAACAGGCGTTATTTTGGAATCAGCTTTAAAGTGTTCTCGGCCATGATCTTTGTGTTCAGGGAACTTTAACTGTAGTCAGATGAAACAACGATTCCCCATGATTCATGTTGTTACTGAACAACAAAGCACACTATTGTATTGATAGGTTACCCACACAACTTATGTTGTGTAAAGCGCAAGTCTTCAAAATCCCTTTCGTCATGAATTTCTCGCAACTATATTTGTTTATCATCTTTCACTTTTCCATTAGCCCCCGTGACCACCTGTTTGCGAATCTTGAAGTCGACATGATTGTAATTATAATAAAACCACCACGTGGAAAGGGAACGTGATAGTTGATTTCCCATTTTTTAATTTCAACATGGCACTACTGATACGATGTGCTGAAATATCTCTTGCACAAAAATACAGACCATCGGGTAACACATAGAGGACAGTTTAAGTCTACATCACACCCACAACTCAGTCTGTAATATCCTCCCTTTTAGATTGGATCTCAGGCTTGAAAGTAATATGTGTCGAAAACAAACAGAGTAAGGGGCACGAAGGAAGGGGTTGACACCGAAAAAGTCATGACACATTCTAAAGATCAGTAAAGCATTAATAGGGTAAATGGGTTGGGGAAACGGTATATAGACTTCAGTATAAATCTAAAGATTTAGATATTGCCCTAACATTTTTTCCTTAGGATATCAAGTTTCGTAATGTTTAGAGGATGAACTTTTTCCGAAGGTGTCCAATAGAATTTGCATCCCCGGGGAATTGACGCACTCTGAACCCGAAATTTGTTGTTATCAGATGAGAGGGGGTTGAGATTCGAAACTTTTCACATGGAAATGTGACAGTGGGTTTAGGAATTTGAGGAAGAGCGGAATGGGAAATGATAAAATAACCGTCATTTTAAAAAGCAGGTGGCAAGAGTTACACAGACTCTTTCGTGGTTTTGCGGTCGAAGCGAAGTTTCGTTTTAATAAGCGCGACTCTAAGCTTATCTCCATTTCTAGTGTTATATCTGAATTCTTAAGCAGCATACGATTTTAAATTGACAGAGAAGGTAATCTTTTGGTTGAGTGAAAGGGCCTCTAACTTCTACCAGAATCGGAATAAACTTTTAAAGACTATCGAGATGACGGAATTGGGGAGTGTTTTGTCAGGCAGAGATGGCGACATCGAAATACCCAGTTGGATCTCTTTTTAGAGGATTAACGACAACGATTGGTCGAGAAAAAGATCTTGAAACATCCTGTGGTAAAAATCTGGTATCAATTCTCGAAAGAAGGGCAGTTGTCTCCCGAAGAATACGATGAAACTCCCAAAAACTGAGATAGTAAAGTTAGCTTTTTCAGAATTATTAATGCAACTTTGATTTAGGTGATAAGCGGGAGAGACGCTTTGGTTGACGATGACAATGTTGCGTTGATGCAGCACCCTTGAAAAAGTCCTATCGACAGCAATCACGACATGTACTTTTGAACCCTAAATTTTCTCTAAGACAATTTTTTTAAAGGTCGTAATAAAGTCTTCATTGTTATCCTTAAATTCAATAGTTGATAGCATTGGCATCAAATTTAGGGCATTTTCATTTTTCTTACATTTCTCCAATACAAATCAAGAACTGAAAACGCTGTTGGTAAACGTTTGAAACTCATATACATGAAAAAAAAATCGGTGGTAGGCTAACTCTATCTTGGATTCTAATATACCGTAATTGAACTTGCCTGAATGTAATGAAGAATAGCGCTTTTTGTTGACCCATGCACCTTTAGTAAATCCACCCAAAAATTATGAAAATAATATTATTAGACGTGGAGCGAACTTACCTTATATTTCAACTGTACAAACGTAAAGCTAAGGCAACTCCTGAAACAGATCAGAAACGAACAGAGTTAGCACCACCGGAAAGATCAGAGTCTTCTTTCAAACAGATCGAGTAGGCGCTCGTTTGCTAAATACAAGGCTACAGCAATTGTTCTTGTGTTGAAATTTTCGCATAAAGCGTGGGTCGTGACCATAAATTAATAAGCATTAGCTTTCCCCGTTATAATTTTATCGCCAACAGTAGACTACTTATTGTAATTACAAATGCAGAACTTCGTAGAGAAGAATGAGAACGCGTCCTTAAAACCAGCCGATTCAACGGCAGATAATAGTTTTTCATTTTTTTTCCTTTCAAAAAACAGCGCTGTCCCGCTGAGTTTGTTTACATAACATAATAACTGAATCCACATCTCGTTTCGACTTCCTGTCCGTTAAAGTCTATTAAAGACGTTATCTTTTTAATGCGAACGAAGCACAGTTTTATGCAACCACAATCTTATCAAACTAGTTCTAAATATTTTTAAAAGTCTGAGCCTTTCATTTATCGGGAAAAATCGCTTTTAAAAGATATTTCACGCTGTATATGTTATGGTAAATGTGCCGCCATAAATGACCTGAAAGCATTTTAGACTAATTTCGAAATAATTTTTTTATCATACAGACTGTATTTATTTGAACGTTTTTATTCCTCAAGATGTACGCGTTACAGTACTAAAGACTATTGAAACATTGTTTATGTCATAAATCTTTCTTTTTAATTTCATCACAGGGGTTTGAGCCTCGTACATAGTTTTTCTGTACATGACAAAGCTTTGGGTAACTTTAACACAGTAGTAAGGTATAGTTTTAAGGTTATCACGACGCTACTATCACAAGTCTTAACAGGGAGTGGAATTTGATGAGCACAAAACAGAGTAGTAAAGCTACAAAGATTTTCCATGTTCTCTGCTTGTAAAAGGTTTCAATTAGGGCATTTCTTCTGCCATAACATGATAATCATGTGCGTACTATGAATGCAATACAACCAGAAAGCTTTCCGTCTTTTCTGCTTTGTTGTTAGGTTGAAAGCATCTTCCTTCCCTGGCAAGATAAAGGTGTGATTCAGAAAGTACAACTAAGATTTTTTCTGTATTTTATGCATGGCTGGAAGATTCAAAGAATTTCCCTCCCTTCGAGTTCTAAAATTGCGCTTTCAACAAAGAAGATACAAGCAAAATTATTTTCGTCTTTGTTCTGTTTTATTGGAGCGTTGAAAGTAATGATGAAGATATATGCATCCCCACTTAGTTCCACGATTGTCCTGAAATATAATTAGAGAAAAATATTGGAATTGGTGTAGTCTAGGCGATTTGCGCTAATCACTAGGAACCACAATGACAGGATGTTTTTAGGTTCGAATGGCAAAGTTAAACGCGCATGGCACGTAACTATAGCCCAACCAAGATAGACTCAAGTTCTAAAAAAAAAATAAGAGATAAATCCTACGTTCAGCCTCTATTGTTCTGGTTTGAGATTGGTTTCCAAACTGACTAATCATTTTAGTCATCATCTGTAAAAAAAAAACGGAAATTCTACATCAATTATCTAATTGTTTTGGGTAAATTCGAAAAATAAAAGATGCTGCGGTCTCTTTTGGTTTCTCTTTTAGCTTTTTTTCTTAGCGAAAGTTTTGAGTCTTTTCCTTCTCTAAGGAAGCCAACTGCAAGTTAAGTCACTTTATAAAACGCGGTGGTTAATCTAAGAGGAATACGCCTAACTTCACCATCTTGAAGGTGCGGAGATTTTAATCGCCGCAAGAAAGGCTTGACTCATATCTGGAGACGTCCCCGAAAAACAAACCTTCTTTTCAACGTACACTTTCTTTCTCTTTTGGCCGACTCATATTAGGCTAAATAGCGTAACACAGTGTTTACTAGTGCTGTCGGTAGTTGCTGCAGTGTTTTAATGTGGTGTCCTAAAAAATCCTGGAATGAACGAGTTCCTCCAGTTGTGTGGTGTCCCTCCCATTCGAAGGTAATATCGTAAAAGATTCGCTGGATCCCAGTTCTGCTCTTGGTTATAGGTAAGACCCAAGTACAACATTCGGATAATGAGCAAGTCAATGATAAAACTTTGTGATTGATTATGAACCATTTAAATCATAAGGTGCAAGAGTGAATGATATCCTTAATCACACCCATCCGTTACTGAGGAAACATCATACAAATTACACAGAGCGCAAGCTATTCCTCAAAGCTTGAGAAATTTTTAACACTCAATAGCTAAAACTACCAACAAGATTTAGGTTACTTCTCAATTTATTTTTATCATTTGATCAGCAAGAGAATATAATCTCTTGTGACTAGCTAAAACAAAAAGAAATCGGCTGTTATTTTGTGAAAAAAAAATTTTAAACTCAACTTTAAAACCTAGACTCTCCTCTTCCCATCAAACAAAATTTTATTAATTTGAATTGATTTTTTTTAGTGATTTGATCAGGAGAACAATTTTATTTACAGATATATCCGTGAATACAATTTCATAAGAGAAGATTTCTGAAAACTACGTTATTCAGTTATTAAATTCGTGTTTCAACCTTCGTCGGAAAGGTTGCAATTTCTTGTGATCATAAGAACCGTTAAGACGATTTCACTGCCTTCCTCTTACACCAGAAGCTACGAGGACAATCGCTCTTCTCGGTGGCTGCATGGATAATGCTTCTCTTCTTTTTACACCAGTATCCAGGGGGACAGGCTGAGTCATCTTCTTGCTCCGTTTGGGCGCACACGAAATCGCGTGGGCAGCTTCGTTTGGACACAAGATCAATCGACCGCTTCTTGCGGCACCAGTATCCCGGCGGACAGGAGTCAATGGAACGAGACTGACTGATCTCATCCCTGCACCAATACCTAGAAAATGTCACAAAACGCTGACTGAGTGTACCGGATCGAAAGGTGGGGAAGGCCCACAAAAAAGGCTTTAACAGACAACCAGCTAAGGTGAAAACAAACTGCTCCACGAAAAATACATCAAAATAAGTTTATTGGATAGAGTAAAATCGTCAAATTTTCTATACTGGAGCATCCTCCCTCGGACTCTCCCGCGCAAAAGATCAAGTGATCATTTGTAGAACACCACGACTGGTGTATTCTTTGTGTTCCTCGCATTAAAAATTTGTACAAGCGGGCCTGGTGTAGTTGAAAAAATTTTCCATGTGTCAAAAAAATAAACTTAAGCATGTTTTAAGACGCCATAGCCTTCACTTATGACATTTTCACAGTTAAGCACGAAATTCATCTAAAGAAAGTTTGTGTAAGACGGAAGAGCACCCCTTCGGTTAACAAAGTTTTCATTGCGCATGTGACTTCACGACCACCATCAATTTATCATAAACTACACAGCTGGGGGACATAATAAATTTATCATGAAGTGGACATATTCTTGACGTAAAGCAAATTTCCAGTAAAGAAGCTTCTAAATAACGATTCAAGATCAGTTTGAATTGCGTAAGGAAAATTGAATGCCCGCGCTAGCATTAAATTGGATGTGAATTTCTGCAAATAGCGTGAAGAGGGAAGAGTGCAGAATTTCGAGTCAATTCCAAAGTCAACTGACCATTCGCTCTTCTCACTCAACTTGTGGGTTTTGAAAAATGGGATCCATGCCTTAATCTAAACTACTCGTACTCACTCGGCTGCGCAGTTCTTTGGGTCAGTTGGTTGATCGAGGACCAGTTCGCTTCTTCTGCACCAGTATCCTGGCGGACAACTGGAAGTGCTTCGTTTAGATCGGCAAATAAATCCTCTTGGACACTCACTAGAATCAAACTCGCGCTTTTTCTTACACCAATATCCCGGAGGACATGTTGATGAATAATCGTCTTGAAGTTCAGCGGTCTTTTCGGCCGCAGCGCTGGTTGTGAACTCCACGAAAATACCCAATAAAAGGGCTAAATATGTAACTTGTTGCCACATTCCTGTTGAGAAAAAAGCAAGCGATGGAAATATGTCATTTTTTTTCTTTTTTTCCCACCGTTGTTGGTTCTGCTGCTTGCCTGCAAAGGAGCTTGCTCTTAATATAATTGATCAAGATGGTATCTCCCTTTATACCCCCATACTTTTTTATTCATCTGTTGTTTTTATCTGTTTCCTCTCTAATTTTTAGACCATCATGAAAATTAAGCTAGAAGTCGGTCCATCAATCAATATTTAAACCGGCCTTTTACAACCCAACAGCAGTCAGCGGTCAGCTTATTCTCCATACTGTTTTCAACACATTTCCTTTGATACTGTCAAGGAGAATTCGTTCGACGATCAAAGCTTCTTTGGCTGGCGATTGTCTCCCTTATTCTCCTGACCTTATTGTTTGATTCAGATGTGATAATGTAAAGAGAAATTAGATACTAGTCAGTGTTAGGGGTTAATCCTTGGCATCCCTAAGCATTCGCTGTCATTGTTTTTGTTTACTCTTCCCTTTTAAGTCTTCTGAAGCATTCTATGTTTATTCATTGTGTCCTCCTCTGATTGGCCGATATTTTTAGTTTTTGTTAGGTACCAGAAGCACCCGTCATGGTCTTCCTCAGGACCGACCATGTCTATTCTAGCACTAAGTCTCATAGAGTTTTCACCTTCTCTCTCCTTAGCTTGTGGCAAAAGAATTACGCTAACCGCGCAACTAATTATTTCCAAACTCATCTACAAGAGATCAGCTCTTGATCCTTTAGACGTACTATTTTGCTGAAAATCATCATTCCTAATATCACTTAGTGTCACTTTCGCTTCCTCTGTTGCTTTAGTGGGAGCTGAAGGTGATTTCCGTACTGTTTATGAAATGTTTACAGAGAGCGCTTTCTATGACATGATCAAAGATATCCTTAGCAAACAAATTACCAAAAAAATTTTCTCATGTCTCCCCTGAATCCGACTGGCCACGTAATTTCCTTTTCGCTTAATTGTTAAAGTCGACTTCTTCTTCATTTCATTTTATTTTTTTCTTTTTCGCTTTTAGAATGTTGGAATCTCGTTGCGATCTTTACTCACACGTCCAAAAATAGTTAGTGCATTCTATCTATGGAAAAATATACCTTTCTTTCACGTCATTCGATTTTTATCTATTATTTGAACCTTTTCCTAGATGATGAATTCTTTTGAGTCGTATCAAAAGGAAAATGACTCTGAACTGATAGGAGAGCTACATAAGTCTGGATTATAAAAAAAAGAAAAATTCACGTAGGCTTTTCAAAAAAATGTCCTTCAAGTCGTATTCGCGAAGAAGAAAACTAATGATACATTCATATTTTTCAGTATTCAACAGTTCCTTTTCATTTTCTAAACAGAGAATAAACAGCTGAAACAAGAAAGAACAGATCTATTTACTGAAGAATAAAATCTTTTGTTCCATTTCGTATTTTCGGGGCGAATTGTCTAGTACTCTCACCCACAGTCTTTTTTGATACCTCGTTGGAACAAAAACGCACTCTATTCCTCCGTTCTTATCTGAAAAGATTCCTCAATAAAAGCCATTTTGTCTCGTATTAGATGATTTCCTGGGAGCAAAACATTGTCTCTCTTTAGGGTGTGTAAAATAAACCGAAACTGCGAATTTAATAATGAATCAGATCTGAGAGTAAATTATATCCCTCGAGGCCCGTTAAAACAGAAAATTTTCGAAGCGAGGTTCAATAACAAATTATCCACCTTTGAATTCGCGTGAGTTTGTCACACACGTCAACTTGGATTAGAAAAAATGGAAAAATGCAAAAATATGCAGATAAATCTCCAAAAGACAAATTGTGAGGGCAGATTGAATAGGTTTAATTAAACAAGCTAAACATGATACTGTAAGCGTTTAACAAGATACTTAATTGAATTCTTACTTTTTACGCATTTACAAAGAAGAGAAATTTCCTTATTCTGTCTGTAATATGTCGATCAAAGAACATTGTGTAGGGATTAAAAAGCATTTTTCCGAAGGATATTCAATTAATGTTGAGGGAATGCTTGTGAAATTGTTTTTGTCAATTCAGTTGACTCCACATTGAGCATAAAAATAGAACGAATAAATATATCTTGTTGTCGAGTTTTAAAGTCGTTTATCTTTAGCCTTAGTTTACACACAATTTTTAAAGATAATTCTGCTTTACAAATGATCTTCTGCAGATCTTTAAGAAGGATCCACACTGAGATTTTGAGCAAATCAAACAGTACTTTCGTACAAAACAAATTTCTCTAAAACAACGGGTTACAATACAAAAGTAAGGTTTCCTTTGTATCACTTTTTATCGGAATTATCATTACAGAGCGAAATAAATTAAAAAAATAAGCAACTTGGCATGCTGATCAAAAGATTTTTCACATCAGTAGAAGTCAAAAAGCTCAAACTCTTTAGCAAAGAGGGCAGCGTTTACGAAATTTCATACAGTTTTTCACAAAAAAAAAGTCAGACACAGGATAGCCGCAGTAAGAATTAAACAATATTCAAATTTGAAAGTTATGTTCTCTCGTGGTTCACACAGAGAAAAAGAGAACTAATTCTCTATTTAGAATCTTTAACATGACAAACAGCCACAGCAGGCAAAATGCACCTAGTCGCAAAACGAAATTATATTAGACCTGTTAAGCATTCAAGCAGGGAAGACCTTTACTCACCTTTATATACGTATAAAAAATGGAGAAATTATGTACTGTGTTCCAAGACAAGCAGTATGAAAATGAAGAAAAATTACCCGTTTAAATTTGCGGATCTTGCCGCAAGTCCTACGATGTTGGTCTTCAAACTGAACACATCGCTTTATAGTCCCAAGGCTAATTGTGGGTGTTTTAATGAAGTGTTTGTCTTCGTCAATGATAGGATATCCGAAGCTAATCTAGACACGCAGATCGATTGTTTGAATTGGGTAATTTGTTATTGAATCTCGAATCCGCATCCTCTTGAACGTGATACAATGCCACAGTCTGAGTAAACATTTAGCCGGGCAAGGATCGATTTTAATTAGCGCGTGGTACGATATTTCCGGAAATCGAACTAACAATGAAATGAAATGCTATTTAATTCATTCCAACCATCACTTAAACCCTCAATCACCCGTGAAAATGAGATTTGTTATCTCGGCTAAATGAAGGCGGTTTCAAACGCACTACTTCTATTGCCATTTTCATTCCAATTCAAAGGGCGATCATGTTAAAATCCATTCTAACCATTCAAAGGAGGATGGTATTCTAACGACGAAAATAAATCTGTTCAATTTAAGGAGGGAAGCAATTGTTGAAATGATATTGAAAAAGCCATTATCTTGATTTAACAATAATAATTGGCTTTTTTTTTATCAATGATTGTTTTAACGTAGGGCAAAAAAAAAAACACTAAACCTGTACATTAGGCCTATCTGCCTGAAAATCTATTTTCCTTCAATACAGAAGCTATATTGACTCCTCCTACGTTTCATAGCATTCAGCAATTTCTACAGAAAATTTCCAATACAAAGTTAATAGTAAGAGGTGATTCGCACGGATTTTCTCGAACATCTTTTGGAAGAATCTTCCTGCATGATGGAAGGTGCCTCGCAATTTTTCCTTTTTTTGCGAAATTTCCTTCTTAGAAACGAGGATACTCTGGCCGATTAGCCATTGTTGTAAAGGTAGTAATGATCTATTCTGATAATGCTATAGAATATGATTTTAAATGGACATTTATCCCACGCTCACAATAGTATTTAAAGCATTTGGCGAACTCAATAAACTTCTGCTTGCGAAATGCGCCGTTTTATCTTCAGAAAAACAAAGCATAGACCTATATTACTTACATGGGCAATTGTAAATTGTATCATATCTTCATCGTTGTATCACAATGAATCTTTCGGTGCCCCAAATCACTCCAATACTGTTAGACAAATGATTTTCATCATTTAAGTTTTTGAAAGTACATTGATATCAGAGAAGGTAACGTTATTGTAACCGACCATGTCGTTGTTGCCCTTGCTGGTCATGTTTCTAAAGAAAGCTCTGAAAAAATCTGAATCGGATACCACGGAGATTTTAGTTTGCAATCAATACTTTTTCCCAAAATGACTATTGCAACAGCATGAATAGAAACAGAAACGTCAGCTGAAATTAATCGAAAAGAAATTCAATTAAGGAATGATATTTAAGGTAAGGAAATTACACCAAACACAACCCAAATTCGAAGCATCGAAACAGATTAGGTTTAGGAGAAAATATAGCAGCTGATATATCGTGAGAACGTGTTTTATAACTAGTCCAAAATTCTTCAAGGAAAGTGACATAAATCTTATAAACTGAAAATTAAATCATTTAGTGAACAATTTAGCAAACCTTTGTTTGGAGAAAGTGATTTCTCCACAATAATTAGTTTTAGTTATTGAAACACTCGAGTCGAAGGGTAATTTTCTTAAAATCGTTTACAACTAACACACTGTTAAAATGTCGTTCATCCAAGCAAGCTTTTCAGAGAAGCCATTAGCGAATTCCTTTTTCGTTTTTTCGTAGATTTAGGTGTTCCAAAACGGTCGGCACCGAATCTAGGTGAACTGAGAGATCAAGACAAACTGTGTCGCCGCTTTCTAAGTTTGAATTCAAAAGCAGACTGGTGCAAAAACAGTGGTTTTCGGGAAGGAGAAAATCGATTAAAACTGTATCCATAGCTTTGTAGAGAAAACTTTATACAAATAAACCCGTGTTCGATAGAAAAACTTAGAATTCCAGTTTTCATCCGATCATGCAAGGTATCTCTACCAAAACTCTCTTTGAACAAAACAACCTGAAACCAGGTGTTGATCAACTATCATCGATGACAACTCGTAGAAACAAGAAGTCGACTGCTGGTAGAACTGAGATAAAAAAAACAAATCACTTCTCATCAATTTATCAAGGAAATTAGTCGTTTTCAGTGCCAATCATGAAATCAGTTTAAAGACATCCAACGGAAATAAAAACGTTGGCGTTTTTGACATATTAACCGTCGGAAAGATTTGGAAGAATGGTAAATACGGGGTGGTACACACTTAAGAAAAAATTGGCAGAAACACAATGTATTATCAAGTTTTACTCTCTATTTCTCAAAGAGCTGACTACTTCTTTCGATTAAACAATGTGTGCGAAACAATTAGTTAACAAATACGTCCTCCACCAAGCACGGAAATGATGAAAGGAAGAAACACTTTTGTGCGCACAACGATGACGCTTATCTTGCCCAAATTCTGCAGGAAAAATATTTTATTTTCTACATTATCTCAGATCGTAACGAGGAATTACGTCGAAAGATGCTGCAACGTAGTGCTTGCGTTGCTTAAGAAGGGCGTGGCAGAATATTCAGTCTCGCGATCTTACGCAAAACATGTCATCAAGATCGCGTTCGGGAAAAGGACATGTTACAGGACTTTATTTAAACAGCTTCCCACCTTTTCTTTATTACAAATAGAATGTGGACACACTGGATATGACTGCAAAGAAGTTTGATTGCGCCAAAGACATTTTGGAAAAATTGAGCTAAGGTATACGCTCAGTCAACTGGATGGGCTCTCACCATGTATATAAAACGCCTGACCGCCTCTCTTTAGTTCAAGCTTATACAAACTGTTAGAATTGGCAACAGCACCATCTGGAACCATCATGCAATACATACCTTTAAAAATTTTACTTACACTCAATGAGATCGATTAACATTTACCAAGATCACCCTTGATTAACTACATTTACAGCAAAGGGGTTGATATACTTCACGGGTCGTAAATCAATTTAAACCGAAAGGGTATTAGTGTGTGAATTTTACACTAGAACACCTGGTCATTACCTTAGTCTCCCTTAGAATGGTCCCTCCTCTTTACTGATTTTCTTTTTCTTCTTTTCCTTGTTGAATTGAACTGATCAACGAACGCAGCAAGTGAAACTGTACTGTAGATCTAAAACCTATCATTCGCGAAAATCTGAAGACGGTAGATATGATCGGCAAAGGAGGACTAAAGCAGCCAGCACTTGCCGCGCTTTTGCTGATCCGCACTTTTGTCAGCCCTGCGGATCAATCAAGAGAGATGTCGCAAACGGCCTCAAAAGGATGAAAAATCACACAGGAAAAGAGTCAGGCTTCGGATTTGTCACCTTTCTTTGTAGATGGCGCGGTGACCTGAAATCAGTCATGCCGCTGAAGGCGATTGCTAAATGCTTGTGTGAACAAGAATGCCATTTGTCGTTTCTCGTTTTCTTGCCAAAAAGCTGGCGCTGACAACCCAGTTCTTCATTAAACGTAGGGTGATAATGATGACCCCCCACAAAAAAACCGTCGATAACGTTCACCAGTGACACTTTATCCTCTCCTGCTTCAACGAAATGGTGCAGGGTGAAAAACTATTGATTTAGATCGAACTAAAACCTTTTTCCTGAATCGGTCGGTTAGATTTGATTCTGTTTCATTTGCGCGGTGAAACTCGAGACTATATTACAAATTTGGAATTTCTCTCGAACAAAATTCGCGCCCAAGTATTTTTGTTTTCATGCGCTGTCTGTTTCGCTCGGGTCGTAAAGAAGAAATTGCGGAAATCAGTATATACTCGCAAATGCGCTGTTATCATTTTATCAATCCTTTAAATGCACTAATACCGAAAAAGACCTCTTGAAGAAAAAAAAAAAAAAAAAGAAAGTTTCTGTGGGAATATGGCCACCGTAGAGTATCTCGGATCCTGCAACCTTCATGAACTTCACGGTTCTCCTTCTCTAGTTTCAAAGCCAGAGCGAATTCTTTTGGACGAAATTTACTAAGGAAAAGTGGGAATATAACTTATTCAGTTTCTGTCTTTTAGTAAAAAGTACCGCCGGGATGAAAACGATAGTTCATCCCATAGGGGGAAAATTCTTTTTTCACCTGCCTTAAAAGGACTTCCTAAAGGATTTAACTTAAAAAGTTTGGAAGGGCAAAATAAGCTGTCATAAATGGTACTACATGTCTTTACTGTCAAAAGGCAAGTTGTTATAGATGCGACCAAGTCAAGTGAGCATTGAAAAAAAGATGTCGCAAAAAATTGGTATCAAATGCAAATTTACGACTGATCTACATACTGAAGTGACCCGTAGAACTGCCACTACACTGCAGAATGTAAAAGAGGGTACACTATGTTCTTCAGCTTTTAGAATATTTTCCTTTTGTGACATTTCCGACCTGTCAAAAGTGAAGTTCAGCTGAAAAAGGGGCGCATGGCCATTCATCCGGTCACATTCTACTTAACAATGATACCTTTCTTTGAGTTAAGTAACACCGCTAGACAGTTTATTCTGCGAAGTAAAGGACGTGAATTTCCGATCTTTGCTCGAGCATTCCTTTAAGATAAATAGTTACCATTGTGATAATGCTTTTTCTATTGCTTCATTCAAATCTCCAAATGCCAAGAAGTTTTAAATGCGGAGGTTAGGCTTCCAAAAAAGTTTTTGCAACAAGCTCTGGATCACCCAAAAATATTTTATTTACACAAAAAAAAGAACCATTTAATTTTCATATGTAACACAGTTTAGTCACAACCTTTGACTAAAAATCTTAACGAAGGCCTAGAACGATGGTATTGTCATTTCGTAGATTAGTTCGAACTGTACATGTAACGAAGTCCACTCAACTATTATTTATCTCTATTTACAGTATCAATAAATTCAGTACAGAGAATAAAAGGTGGTATCTAGTTTTAGCCGTACAATTCACTACATATCTGCATTTAGGTTTCGTGAACAAGCTTCAACAATATTTTCTCAATCTTCAAATATAATGAAGGCGAAGATTCTCTCAGTTGGATTTGCTTCTCAGTGCTGTTCCCATGATTCTCATGGGGTGCACTTTATCAATGGTTGGTCTGTCGAGGGCTTCTTTTAGCTTCCTCTGATATTCAGCTTCTGCTTCCTGTATCAAGTAAAATAAACAATCGTCAGCCTTCTCTGATCTTTTCTCCTTTGTTTGATGTCACTCCTACAGGTTCCCCACAGAAGTCGAGTTTTTGTGAAACTTTAACACCTCTATTTTTTTTTATTTAATTGTTATTTTTTCCCTAAATGTGCGAATCACCTAAATGAAAATGGACAGCCCCTAATCGCTGTGTCACGGGCCAGTGTACACATAATCCATGAGATCACAGTAACAATTGATACACCATTTACTTCCTTGCTTTCTTTTAACTCTTTCCTCAAAAATTTCAGACCATAGATTATGCTTAAATCGGCGAATCTGATGATGACTTTCTGAGACAGTTCTCGAAACGTCATTGAATGTCAAGACAATATTCATGTTCAGTATTTGTCACACTTGCACACGATCTCACTAATTACTGACCTGTCCCATTCTGAATTCTCTTTCTTCCTCTTCTATTTCCTTAGCTTTGACTCTGCGTTGATAGTCAATTTGCATATCAAGGTCCCGTTGATAACCAATATTTCTGTTCTTTATTCTCTCTTGATTCTCTGCTTCCAATCGCTTGTGCTCTTCAATCGCTGCCAAGAGTGCATCCCTTTCTGCTATTTCAGCTTCTTGTTCCTTTTCAGCAATCCGTACTGAGAAAAACAAGTGCAATGACTGGGATTTAAAAGGGTTCTTAAACGATTGTTCCCTCCGTAGTCACAGATCACTTGAAATATGTTTCGAAGAACAGATCACTTTTAAGGCTAATTTTTTTAAGTTCGTCGGCTGCAATTCGCTTTAAAGTTCCTCCTGTGTCCTATTTGTTTCTATCTAGCTTCTTATTGTCTATTTTCTGTTCTGTTTCACTGAAATAGTAAATTACAGTCTCGTTCAAGATAGAAGAAGTCTTGCACTTCACAAAAATGCCACATAATGCAGTGGTATTTCTCCTTAAAAACAGGTTCTCACGATCTTGGAACTTAAAGATTCGGTTCCACAATAAAACCCCATACCAAGGGCAATATTGGCCATATACTAGACCACTAACGCAAAGGACTACGACACTACCAGCGAGTTGGCCTTTACCATGATAATGATAGTCTAATATACATGTACTACACCAGGTGCTACTCGTAGCTACTAACACTAAATGTATAAGATTGTGCCCTTGATTTTCCAACTTACCTCTTTCCTCAATTTGTTGTTCCCTAGATTTCATGACATTGGCCAAGAGTTTCTGGCGTGCATCTCTCTCCATTTTGTATTGCTTTATGGTTTGCGCCCATTTCTTTTCCACCTCCTCATTTACGATGCGCTCCAGTTCCTTCTCTCTCTCTTCATCCTCTTTACGGTTCATTGCACAGTACTGCATGAAACGTAAATTCTCTTCACGCATTTCACGCTGTTTAAAATAAATTCATTAGAATCACTGAGTACTCTGCCTACATTGAGGTAATATCCAGATTAAACCCCTTCAATAGTGCAATAAAAAGCTACAGTATGAGAGGAAGACGCTTGGTTCAATGAATGAGCATTATCACGTGTGTTCACCTTTCTCTGTGTTTCTTCTTTCACTTCATTTCTTGTATCATCCAAAAGTTTTTCTAATATTTTCATGTCCAATGCAAGTTCTTCTTGCTTCTCTTTGGCCTAAAGAAAACGAGTAAAATAAAAAATCAATAAATAGCTTACAGTAGGCATGGGGAACCTTTGCAGTGAAAACCATTTCCTTTAAAACTACATATTACAGTACAGTTTATATATAACCTGATGCACTTTTTTACCAGACAAATGACGCCAATGGCTGTATATAGACAGTTCAATTTTTAAAGCCATCATACAATTAACCATTCAGTCCACAAAATTAATCTAATTTGCAGTTGATTTAAAGACTGCAACACAGACTTGTCTAATTGTACTTATTACTAATTGTATTTGTATGACACAATGTAATATTTAAATAAATACATAGATGTGAACCAACCTCTTTTTCCTTCTTGAGTCTAATAGACACCTCTCTCGATCTTTTAGCTGCCTTCTGCTTGCGAAGCTTTTCTTCCTGTAGCCATTTTTCCTCCTCTGCTCTTAGCTTAGCTTCTTCCTTCAACCATTGTGCCTCCATCTCCTTCAGTTTCTCTTCATCTTCTCTCTGTTTCTCACAGGCTGCAATCTGAACTTGTAGAACCTGAAATATTCAAACATCCATAAAGATGAAAATTAGATAAACTCTCAATCCATTAGGTGAAAATAAACACTTCATGCTAGACCCAAAAACAACTTACTTTTAAAGTTTCTCTGTTCCTTTCAATCTGTTCCCTTGCAGTTTGCTCTTCTCTCATACTTTTAATCTGAATGTCTTCTGCCCACAAGTCGGCATAAAATTTATCTACTTCTAATTCCTTCTTCTTTTTCTCCTCTTTCATTTTCAATTGTTCATGGCGTTCCACAAAAACTTCATCTTGATGACGCTGACTTAAAGTTGAGCGGAGTTCCTCGCAATTATCTCTGAAAATCCAGACACATTACAAATTAAGATGATAGATAAAAAGGATTTTCATAAATGGAGCTTATTCAAATTTATAAAATCACTTAACAAGAAGCAACAATCTTTGGGCTAATCTCCTAAGTATAACATGAATTATCACTTCCCTTGATTTCCATAGAGGTAAGGTTTTTTTTTTAGTTTTGAAGTAAGGTGCAGGCACTGTTGTTCAGTATCAAGTTTTACAGTAAAATCTCTATTGTCACTTTTATTGCATCTTGAGTCTGAATGACCAAAGAATCCTGTGAAACTTTGATGAGTAACTAACTATGAGTTCATGCAAACAACCCTTTAGTTTATGATGCCATCCTATGATTCATGAACTGAGTAAGTACCTCCATCTCTGATCAAGCTTTTCATCCACAAGTTTCAGCCTTTCTTGTTCTCTTTTCTCTTTTAAAAACTTGGCTCTCTCTCTCATCTTTGCCTGCCTCTCAAGAGTTGTTTCTTCTTTTGCTTCCATTTCTTCAATGTACTGTTGCTCTTCAGCCAACAGCATTTCTTTCAATCTAAAGGAAACAAAATTTATTTAAAAGAGCACTACAAAATTAATAAATTTTTGACCAAAGGTTCTGGCACATTTACAGCTTGGAGTAAATCACTTTCAATAAAACAAAGAACTTTGGAAAGAAAGGATGATTGAAAATAACACCTCTAGCATAAGATGTAAATGTGAGATGCATTTATACTGTTAGGGGATGTTTAAATTACTATCTGAAAGAAATTTTTCGCTAATGCTTTGCAATCAGCATTATCAAGCGAAAAAATTGATCCTCAGAGTTGGACTGCAATCATAGAAATTGCAGAAAGGAAGCCTGAAAAAATTTTAGGCTTCAACAGCATAATGGCAATTTATCAATTTACTACTGTCTACCTTGGAAATCAAATAAAAATAAAAAGGGTCCATGAAAGCTAAAACTTTAGTTAATTCTCACCTTTCTCTTCTATCCTCCAAGCTAAAAGTTCCTCTTTGCATTAACTTTTCAACCCTTCTAGCAATCGTATTGCTCTTTATTCTTTTATCTGTGGCTTTTTCCCATTCCGACTACAGCGATAACAGGAATAAAGAGGAAATTACATCTACATGCAATAGCAAACAAATTCAGTCTATAGTAAATATGTAGAGGAGTTACAATATTGCTATAGGTTTGGAAATTTAAAAAGAGCACAGCATTTGTTCGACATCAAGTTTCAAATGGTCGCCATACATGTTCATAATCCGATGATGAAATACAACTTACCTTTAGATCACAACTTTTCTGGTATTTGGTTTCAGCTATTGCTTGCTCCCTTAGTTCATCTTTTCTTCTTGTTTCAAGGATAAGATGTTCCACAGGTCTTTTGCTTGTCGGTTTAGCTCTCTACAACACACACAGCATCAAGAATTAAGCCATTTTTTCCCCATAAGATCGACATTCATAAGGCGATTTTTAATTATCAAAAATTACACATTTTAGCGGTATCTTTCTATAAAACGCAGAGTAAAAATATGACCTTAGTGTGTCATAGGTCCCGAGGAACTAAGTAGACAAAATGGCCCTGACATGAAATGCACGGTTACGCCTTTAAAATGGTAGAGATATCATTACTTACGATAGCCACAGAATGAGGGGTAGGCCCTGTAAACTCCCTACACCTTCGGACATGTTGAACCATCATATTGACGGTGAATTATTCCTCTCAAGCGACTCGAGATAACGCCAATATACAACACTTATGTAGACTACAGCAGCTGAGTTGGCGCTTCGGTTGCTAGTCCCTCCTGTTGTCATGACTACCAAAGACCCAACACCAAATCGCCTCGATATCATACTGAATGTAAGAAAATGAAAAGACTAGACTCTAGTAACCAGTCTCCTCGAATCGTGCAATTTTCAAAATGGCGGATGAAGGTTCGCTCAAACCTAGAAGAGCGACTGTCGAAAGAAAAACAAAAGAAACAGACATTTCTTTGTCGGTCAACATAGATGGAAGTGGGGTAAGCGAGATAAGTACTGGCATTGGATTTCTGGACCATATGTTAACCGCTTTGTCGAAACACGGGCGAATGGATCTCACTTTGAGCTGCAAAGGTGATCTTCACGTGGACGATCATCATTCAGTCGAGGACTGTGGTATTGTTCTGGGCCAAGCAGTGAAAGCAGCGCTTGGTGATTTAAGAGGTATAACGAGGTATGGCTATGCCTATGCTCCTTTAGACGAGTCGCTTTCTCGAGCTGTTGTGGACATATCTGGACGACCCTTTGCCGACGTCAACTTGAATTTGCAGAGGGAGCGGATAGGGAACCTGTCCTGCGAAATGCTACCACATTTTTTGAGTTCCTTTGCTACTTCAGCAGCCATTACGTTACACGTGGACGTTTTAAAAGGTGAAAATGATCATCATAGAGCGGAGTCTGCTTTTAAAGCCCTAGCCCTAGCTCTGCGAACTGCATTTAAAAGAGAAGGAACTGATATACCGAGTACCAAAGGAGTGTTGTAAATTCCTTAATTGTGCATTTTCTCGAATTGTATAAGATCATTTCTGAAAAGTATCTGTATCGCTGTTAAACTAACGATGCGACAGGTATACAAGCCCTCAGGGTTTTAACAACAAACAATGTATTAAAATAATTGGTAAAATTTCCACACAGCCCCATACTATTGTAAAACAAATCTGTTTTCCCATGGGCAATGTATAGTTTTTGTCATTGTTTTCTCTATCCAAGAGCTGAATGCATAATGTAGTATGGGGCTGTGCAGAATTTCACCAAATAATTCTCTGTGATTGTTAAATATTTAATGCTGGTAATATTTCATTGTGCTTCTCTACAAGAAAAACACATTGATATCATGAAAAATTATGTATTCAAAACAACATCAAGATCAGGGTTGTAGATAAGAGCCGGCAGCCGGCAAAGTACACCAGCTTCTCTGCAAGGTTTCGTGGGCTACTTTCATGGCTTCGAGAGCCCGTACAGAGATGATGTTTATCAGGTCTAAACTTGGGCTCAATAAAAATATAAATTTGCACTGCCTATCTTTTCTGACTCAAGGTTAGTTTAAAAACGTTCTGATGAGGACCCTCTTTTTGACAAATCTTGCTGCGGTGGCAGGAAAGTACGAACGATATGACGTATTGTCCGCCATATTGGATTTCGAGACCCACAACCGCTTACCTTTAAAAAAGCTCCGGCTACTTAAAACCTTAAAGAAAACCCTGCAAGAAGACCTGTAATTAAATTCAACATTTTCTTTCAATACATCACAACAGCGAGCCTTCAAAGCCAAGTTCTCATAAGTATGACTAAGAACCATGGAAACAGTTTTTGTACACCCATAAACCATAGTTGGTTTATTCGCATTTCAAACTCCCCGGCCCAGACCATAACTTTAAGTAAACCTGGCCTTTTTAGTGGCTTTAATTAAATAATCCCCTTTTTAACAGGTTAGCATAAAATACCCAATGCAAATCAATTCCAATCCATGTTCCCTTCCCCATACATATCTCCGGTGAACAGGATGACAGACAGAGAGGGTGAAATACCATTCAAAAGTAAAGTTGACAAAATGTAGGTCCTATCATCACTTTTTGTGTACTTTTGGCCAATAATCAGCCTTTGAAATTGAGAAACTTCCTCATTTTTTTCGCCATTTACATGACAGACATGTTTTCTGTGGCTACTATAACTATTTTCAGTGGTTAAACACAAAATATTCACCCAAATACAGCTTTTTTGACCATTTTTCTATGTCATCCACTTTTACTTGAAACTGAACAGAGGGTGGCTCATGCTAGAGCAAAGTAACAACACCTCGCTGGCCAGAACCAGTGCATGTTGACAGCTAAACCCCATTTAAACTTCTTTGTTTGTAACTTACTCACTTGATGGCTTTGAGAGAAAATATCACAAATTCACATCACACACATCGCTGGAGGAAGCAATCTGAAAGACTGGTCAATCTTTCATGGAAAAGAAATGCCTCTAACACAACAGAAAGGATAGTAGTAGCAATGTTGAGTCTTTATTCCAAAGCCTATGGTAAAGGTACTAAAGATTAAAGAACAATGCTTTCAGTTTATTACAAAAAAATTCCCAGTTCTTTGTTAACCCCACTGGCAACAAAACAGCTTCAGGTGCCTCAACATAAGCCCAGGTTGGACGGTAAGTTTCAGATTCTTACATGCTTTATTAAGATCCATTAAGCTAAAACATTGATTTTATAATCAACCAAGATTACTCAGTATTGGCAATAAACAGAGAAACACATGTTTTTCTTCAACTCCTTCCAAGTTCCTCCTCAAGTGCTCCTTTTTCAAGTTCAAGTTGTTTCAGTTCTTTACTGAGTTTTAGGATTTGGTTTTCAAGTCCTTTAATCCTGCAAAAAAAAATAAATATGTAAATGATAATTAGTTACTTCACCACTTAAAGCATCATAGGTATATGTGGTCTACATTGATTCTTCATAGCATAAATGAAAAAACACAAAGGTATGGCAAGTGAGTTTTCTACTCCACCCTAACCCTTGATTAGTTGGCCATTGTACAATATTTCACTACATCCCTCAGCTAGTGTGAGAGCCAAAAGCATTCACTTTAGTAGGCTGTATTTTGCTGTACTGCCCAATAAAATCAAAACTTTTATATTTTAATGGAAATCTCCCCCTCTATTTGAACCCAGACATATAATGAATGACTCCCTAACCTTGATTTGTAGGTGAGTGTTTTAATTTATGGAACCTTGTTTTATCCCCCCAGATTTCTGACATCCTTAGCACTTGGGCCATAAACCCAAGTGCAAAAAAACTTGGTCTATAACTTATAGTGAGGGCCTCAAACTCGGTTAGTAAGAGACATTTACACGAGGTACTTAGATTTTTGTCCCTTTCATTTCTGGTATTTTAACTTTATTTTAGGCCCTTAGTAAGTGGAGGCGATCAAGAGCCTGCCAAAGGGTATAGTATTAGATACTTCTATGGGAATAGATTATTAGACTTGGTACTTCTGTTTGATTTTACCTGATTTTTCTCTCTAGCTTTTCCTTTTCCTGGTTCAAACTCAGCATTTTTATCATCTCAGCTCGCGGTAATTCCAAGGTCCTTTTCAGGTTGTTCTCCTTTTGGATCAGTTCTTCTCTTTCCTGCCTACATTTTTGTGGATCTTCCTGATTAAATTGTTCTTTATCTTCCATCTCCTGCGTAGCACTTTGCCAGGTCTTAGCGCTTGAGTGTACTTGTACATCACTGCCCTCTGATCCTGATCCTGATCCTGATCCTGAGTAAGACGGCAGCCGTCTCTCCCGGGAAAGGCTGGAGGAGGACCCTCCTGAGTGATAAAGACGTACCTCAAGAGATTCATTGCTTGCTGATGAGGATGCTGAAGGGGAGCGTGAACCATGAGGCACACCACTGGTTAGACCCCATGAATAAGGCTGGTGCCTCTCAGGAGGTGGAGGCAGGTACAGATTGTCTAAAGACTGTCTACCAGTCATACTGTTATGACTCCCAGGTACAGACACAGTGTCCATCCAGTCTGGTTCTGTTCCTGTTGGGCTTTCTTCCCAATCTGAATGGACAGATTGGTTATCAGCATTGTGATCCACTGTCTTCTCTTGTGTTGGCCATCTTGAAACTTGATGACCTGTCAAAAATAACAAAAACAATTCGCAAAAACTGTTAGCATGTGTATAACATAATTTTCCGAGAAAAATAACCACTATTATAATGAAAAAAGAGTTCATTAGCATTCCTAAAATTCAAGATTTCAATGAATCTTCCCATCTGTCCAAACTGCAACCAAACTCCTATAATCTCCAAGTTTAAATGGCACTTGATCTTCAACAGTGCCATAAAATCAAGAAGAAAATGTTATCAAAGGGTTTATGGCAATGATTACTTTTTTTCTCACAAAGTACTCCAAGTTACTAAATACCTATACAGTGACTGTTAAATTCAAATCATGCAATATGTTCCTGTTTTTCCTTAGTTCTCTTTCCATGTACGATGCTGACAGACTCTGAAGTATGGTTAACATTTGAGACATCAGCTTTAGAAACTCTTCACAGCAGCCAATTTACACTATCAAGTCAGTAAATAGAACCAAATTACCTTGTACTGTCTCCCCCCACCCAGCAATACAGCACCACAGTTTATTTAAAAATTTAACTCCTCTTCTCTACAGTTGTTGACCATCTGAGATACAATTTGCAAAGTTATGTCTGATGATGGAGCTGACAACAGGGAAAAATTTTTGCCAGAATGCAAACATAAGTCTTGCTTTGCAAGTTAGAATTCCAGATTAAAGTACGTCATTTATACACACACTGAAAGTAAATCACTCTAATTGAATTACTTGTGATGTGATGACTGTTGATGCTTTCCCCAGATGACAAACTAGAGGTATCAGATCCTTGCGATTTGAAATTTGCACAGAAAAGAGAGCATAAAGACTCATCTAACTGAATCCCCTGCATTTTCAATAACTGAACATTGAGACTCGGGCCGTCAGATTGGAAGAGTTCAACCAAAAGTACACCATCCTCTCGCCGCTTTACCACTGATGCTTGAAGTGGCTGAAACACAAAACAGAGAGCATTTTTTGCTGGATAAACCCTTACAACCCAACGACATTATGCAAGTTATCCATACTGTTCTCTATACATTTCTTATGATGCCTACTAAGAGAATTTGTCTAACAGTCGAGAGCTTCTTGATTTTGAGATCATTTCCTTTATTCTCATGACCTTAATGTTTGATTCAAAGGTGGTAATGTTAGGAGAAATTAGATGCTTGTCACTGTGAGGGATAAAAGGGTTAAGAGAGACGGAATCATGAGAAAATCGAAATAGAAACATCGTGAGATTTTCAACTGTTAAGTTTCTGATTTCTATTAATGGCTTCCTTCAAGCTAAAAGCAATTTTTCACAAAGGGTAATTAAAAATGTGCCACAATGTTTTTTTTTTCTATTATTTCATTCCAAGGGTTTAGGAAAGGAAGGATATTTTCATATATATAATCATAACAAATTCTGAAAGGGCAGAAAGTTCAACAACTAAAAAATAACACAACATGCATGACAATAACTACAAAGTAGGTTGACAACAATAGGAACCAATCAAAACAAAAAGCACATAGTAAGTGTAAAACGCCTTATCCTGTTGTGTTTGCAACCTTTACCAATTTGCCCCCACCCTCACCATGTTGCTTTTTACAGCTATGATGTGCAATTACCTGTTTCCTTTCTTTAACTTCCTTTAACTTATTCACAGCCATTACTGTCGTCAGGGCAGAATCTCTTTGCAGCCCTGCAAGATTTGCCTTCATAACTTGAGGAGGCATATCCTTTAGGCTCTGAGGCAATTCGCATAAGCTACTTAGAGGCACAGTGAAATACCATCCATAGTCAATACTCTGAACTTTCACCTAGAGAAAACAGAACAACACAATCAACCCTCAAGGAAATACAACTATTTTAGTTTACATTTCATCAAAAACACTGACCACTTTGACTGTGCCTCTAACAATGTAACTTGCTACATAATTTGCACTCTTAGCAATAAGCATTATACCAGAGAGATACGAAGAAGACAAGAAGATCACTTTTCTTAAGCATCTGAGCTAGAGAACTCCATAGTTGGCTGAGCCGACACAGAATGGCGGCAAAATGAGTGTGCATGCTCCACTACTAACACCATTAGAGTGTTCAGGGCACAGTTGTCCAAAGGCCAATTAGCACTAAACCAAGGTTAAATTCTAATCCAGGTTTCTTTCTTCTTTGTTCAAAGCCTTTAGCACAATTTTCCTTCTTTTTAGAGTAGCCAATTATCAACTTGTGAACAAAAATAATTTATGTGGATTTTCTCTCAGAGCTTTCAGATCTGAAATCAAAATTCACACTAACCCTGGGTTATCTTAAACCAGCTTTGAACAACCTAGCCCAGGCCCAGGTTGTTCAAAGCTGCGTTAAGGTAACTCAGGGTTAGTGTGAAATTTGATTTTTCAGTTAGAGAAAATTCAGTTCAAATCTTTTTGCTTGCAATTTGATCATTGGATGTTCTAAAAAGAATAGTGAAAATTTTCCCAAAGAATTTTGCTCAACTTCAGTCACTACATTCACACCTATTAACACATCTTTTTTTTCTGTTGCATGAGATATGTGATTAGGGAGGTTCGACAGAAACTTTCCTGAAAATGGCAACCTTGCGTGTTTTGGTTTGGGCTTGCAAAATGAAAACATCAGTGGCTATGTCAAAAATACTGTCATTTTGCCTCAATATGGAAATATTGTTGTTCTTATTCCTTTGCACGCAGTAATATCTCTTGCAGTTTACAATCATGCGCACTCAATTTGTAGCTGTATCAGCTCTGCCATGTATACTAAGTTCATATCTTACATGCACCCTGCTATGAGCAGTACATGTGTTCCCTAAACCATTGAGTGTGTAATAGGTAAGATAGTACAACTTGAATAGCAGTAAAATGTTGCTTTTTGTGGTTGGTGTAGGAGAAGTAAATTCATTAGAACAAGGAAATCATATTAGAAATATGAGAAGAAAGACACATACCCTATCCACTCCAATCCCAGAACCAAAAGGAACTGATACAATTTTGACCCTGAAGCACCTTCCAGTTTCCTTGACTGTCACTACAATATCACCAATGCGAGGGTAGATCTGAGAAAAAGTACCAGAACATGAATTTCTACTGAATTCCCTGCCACCAAAATCATTATCAAAACAATTTCAAGGTCCAATCAGATCCAAGAAAAATGACCATAATAGGCCAATGCAAATTTTATGTAGAAAGATACAAACAACCTGGTAAGCAGAAAAATGTGACCGGCCATGTTGCAACAGGCATCTGACTGCTTAAGAAGCACTATGAACTCAAAACCCATGAAAATCTTGTGAAATAATTCATTGTAAATTCACAGATTTTTCACAGGATTTTCATGGTTAAATCAATGACATTTTCATGGTCTCAGTGCCATGAAAAAGACCTGAAAAATCCCATGAAAAACCTGTGAAAATTTCCATATTCACGACCCATGAAATACTGAGTAAAGTGACCTAGAAGCCATGAAATACCCATGAAAATGGCATTTCATGGCCTTTTCAAAGGTACTGAGAAACTCATGAATTTCAAGCCCAAACTTTCATGGTGTCAAAGTTCACTAGTTTTTAATGGGTTGCAGCAAATCATGACCCATGAATATCCTGTGAATATGTAAAAAATTCATTGACCATGAAAATTTTCCTAGAATTTTCATGGCCTCTACATGGTTTTTTCACGGCACATGAAAGTTAATTGCCAGTTAGTTTTCATGGGGTTGTTAGGAATATGCAAGCACCATGAAAATTCTTTGGAAACCCTGTGAATTTGGAATTAAAAATTCTTCACTTTTCTTGTACCAAAGATATACCATAACTGTAATACATACACTATCACTTAATTTATACACTGAAGAACTAACCTATCTGTGAAACTTCTTGGTCCTGTTGTACAAGCACACACACATGAAAGAAATGACCAGAAGTCTGGATTCTCTGATAGTTTATTTTGTTTCACCAGCTGTACATAAATATTACTTTAGGATTCCAAAATTGTGATAATTCAGTTTACACTTTCTTAAATAAAAAAAGTTGGTATGAAATTTTCTGCATAAAATTAAGATGTTAATGATTTTTAGCTCTATTTTGATATCACTCCTATATTTCTGTTTATTTAAACTATTTTGAAGGTATATTATAAATAAATTTGATGTGAAAAATATTTGGACGAAATTATTGAAAATATACCCACTGGTTTGATGTATTTTTGTCTAAACTTCAAATATAATTTCCTTCGTCTAATATCATGTGTAAAATGTTATGGACAGTTATTATAATGTCTATTTATGTAACAGCATTCATGTAAATTTCTTGATATGTTTTACACTTGTGATCAATACTCTCAAGGTAACTAACAACAAAACAATTACCAACTTTCTGCACTCTTGCATGTGTGAAGATATATCTATGGCTGACTATGTCAGTGTCTCTCTGTTTTGGCCACCTGAATGTGCCATCCTTCTTTCGGTTATCATTACTATTTGCATCTTCATCATCATTTGGACCAAGATAGGCTGCTTTAGCAAGTTTGCTTTTCCTTTCGTCAGTTTTGTAGACCAACACTCTTCACTGTTTGCAAAATAAAGGGAGCACATCATCGGTTATCTAAGAGCCTTTCTTATGTACGTAGTAAACCTAAGTGAGGTGAGGTATTTCGTATTCAGAATTTGACTGTATTTTTTATTCCTAAGAACGGTCGTAAGTATTTCCATACAAACTCTTGTGATGTTTCGCCAGATGATCACAGAATAAAAATTTTTAAGTTAAATCAATAGTTAGCGCGCGCGCTCCGATGTTTACGCGTAATAAGATGACCAAGCTTGAACTTACCCCTTCACGTTGTAATGCATATCGATAACTTCATCTTGAGGAAACCTCTTTGAAAAAACTTTTCAGACGGTCCATTGCGTTGATCTGGAAAAAAAGAGACTGCTACACAAACACTACGAGAAATGCAATTGGAATGGAACCATTCCGTTCGAGGTACGAAAAAACCGCCACTTCTTCGTAAATCACGTGTACTTTCACGTGGTGACCTTAGGTCATCGCAGCCATCATAGGCCAGCGGTCACATAGTGACCTCACAGGTTATCGTGTTCGACGTTACGAAATGACTCCGAAGAGGTCTCGTTGCTGCGTCTGTAATCTTACAAAATAAAGCAGCACAAAAAGCTGTTCGGTATTTGGAATTCGAAGCAAGTAACAATCGACAGGACATCAGAGTCCAAGAAGTCAGAGCTGACATCGAAAGTGATTCCTGTGAAAGCGATCACGAAATCAACAACGATGTTGTAGAAGGCAATCTCAATGAATACATGAAGGTAACGTTTCATCCCGACTGAGAAGATGGCCTGACTCTGTTAACCGGCGACTCTATGAACGAGGTAAAAATAGCATTTTTTTTTCAGGTTACATTTGCACACTATTCAAAGTTCCAAATTGAGGTGACAAAGTGATTGATTTTTCATTGTTTTGTTCCACATTTCGTGTAGATGCAATGCGTACTATTGCTGTGCAATTTAAGCATCTGTACTCTGCAGCTGCCTTACGGGAAAAGCCCTAGAAGATTCCTCAGTCGTAAGAATGTAAGAGAAGGCCTTGAACAGGTTTCCAGAGTCATGGCTAACAATCAAAGCCAGCAGTGAGGCAGAAAAAAAGTCAACAAAGTCGTCCAGGCATGGCGAAGGCAAAAATGCCCCAAAAAATAAAAGTGAGGATCAAACATCTGGGTCATTGCCTCCAGCCCCATTTGTCTCAACAAAGGAGCAAATTGAAGATCCATTGTTTTTAGTCATTGTTTTGTGATTTCCTGTACATTTTACGTTAACAAAGGCCACTTAAGATGTTTAGGGACATTTTCATTCGACAGTTTTCGCGCTGTACACCAAAATTCCATCAGTGGATAAATTTATAACAAGTCAGTTCCACGGATCATGAAAGTCAGCTCGTTGATAAATCAGTGACTGTGATGAACTCATTAATACCACTTTTAATGGCCTATGGATTTATCAATGAAATTCATGGGCAACAGATTTCAGGGAATATTCATGGCCCATTAATTTTGTTCTCCCAAAACAAATAAATTGTTAGCCCATGAAATGCTGTTTGATTGCAATTCATGGGCATGAAATTCATTCTGATGACTTTCTGGGGAAACTAATGGGTCATGAAAGTAGACTTTGAAGAAATTCATGGGTCATGAAAGTAGGCATATAAAGAAATTCATGGGTCATGAAATTAATTCTGGTGACTTTCATGGCAAATCAATGGGTCATAAAAATAGACTTTGAAGAAATTCATGGGTCATGAAAAAAATTCCCCTAATTCATGGAAAATTCAGGGCTAAAAATAACCCCATGAAATTTCATTTTGCAGTATTCATGGGCCATGAAATGATCTTCATGGGTTTTTCACATGAAATTCATGGAATTTTCATAAAACTACAGTTCATAGTGAAGGCAGCGTGAGTTTTCTTTACCAATCACAAAGCTAAGTAAAGTAAAACCAATGCAATCTCTGAAAATTATCTGGAGACCATTAAAGAAATGACATTAAGAAACTCCTACAGTCTTACCTTGGCAGCTACATTCGTTTCAGAGTTAATCACCCTTGTCATGTATCTAAGCTGCTCTAGACTGTTATTATCAGACTTATAGAAGTATATTGCATCAAAGGATTCAATCTGCAGAGAAGCAAACATTTTACAAGCAAACATTTTACAAGCACTTCATGAAATTATTCAGTACTGAAGCGAATGAGTACAGATCACTGCATCAAGCAATTCTGGAGTTTTAATTGACTGGGCCAACATAAAATATGAGTCCTTTTACCATATTTACCACTAGATAATGACAAGTAATGATTGAATTAGAGAACAAACTAATAGCTGAAAAAAGAAAAATGGAACGTTCTGTGACAAATAAAAAAAAAGTCTAAGAGCCAGGAACTGAAAAAAGTTTGTGATCAAAATCAAACTTCTCTATATACCATAAATTCATTAAAAAGCAAACAGATGTTGAGTGTAAGTTTTTGCTGCATTAGCGAGGAGTATAACAGATGTATGTTAGTAAAGTAGATTGGCCACCATGATGAGTATCTAAAGATGATGTTTCAAGCATTAGCCCTTTGTCAAGAGAATGATTTTGAGGCTGTTTCCTCATCTTACTACCCAATTCCCACTGGTAATTTAACAGGGAATATATTACAACTGGAAGAATTACAATTAAGATCATGGGGGTTGGTGACTTACATGTGACAGTGTAACTATCATGACTTCTTTCTTCTCAAACAACTGGTAACTGGGGTAGTACTGTTGTTGCTGCAAAGTCTTAGGCAGAGATTTTTTCATTGTTTCTACATTTTGGTTTGTAGTGGAACACTGGCCATTCTCATGTACATTATGAGGTCTTTGATTCAATTTCTGGGACAATTTTCCCTGACTACTCCATGAGGGCTGTATAGTTTGCTCTATTTTTTGATCCATTGGTTTTTGCACTGGGTTTGGAAATGAATCAACAATTTGGGTATCCTTTGTAATTTGTGGTCTAACGTACACGGGTGCCAGTCCTTGTCTTTCTGGCTGCTGCAGCTGGGTCAAGAATGTTGGATTTGATTCTGTGTTCATTTTGCTTTGGATTAATCCTGAAGCTCCTTGAGTTTCCATCCTTGCCTCTCGTACATATCTTGTCAATGCTATTTGCTCATTTACTTGTATATCCCTCCCATTGTCATCTTTGACAAAAAGTTCCACCTCAATGACATGAGGCTACATGTCACACAATAAAATAAAACAAACATAGTAAAATGTATTGAGTGGTATTAACATGAGCTGAAAGGAATCAAATGCTTGTCACATATTGAAAAGGTGGTTGGAATCAACATAAACAAAACTGTGGGAAAGGAAAACTACTTCAAGCTTTTAGATACCAAGAATATAATCACAAGAAAAATATGATAAGGGTATTTGGAAGTTTCACCCCAATGCAAGTTTACCCCCTACCACCTCTTTGAGTTCACCTCCAAAAGAAGAACAAGTTTGCCTCCACCTTCACCAATTCGCACCCACCTTCACCAGTTTGCACGTAACCACGCCAGTTTGCCCCAAACTTCACTAGTTTGCTCCAACCTTCACCAGTTCACCCCCACCTTCACCAAGTTACCTTCACCAAGTTGCCTTCACCTTCACCAGTTCGCCCCCACCTTCACCAATTTGCCTCCACCTTCACCAATTCACCCCCACCTTCACCAAGTTGCCTCCACCTTCACCAATTTGCCCACACCTTTACCAATTTGCCCCCACCCTCACCATGTTGCCTCTATCTTCACCAACTCGCTCCCACCTTCACCAAGTTGCCTCCACTTCACCAATTGGCCCCCACCTTCCCCACATTGCCTCCACCTTCACCAATTTGCCCCCACCTTCACCAAGTTGCCTCCACCTTCACCAGTTAGTCCCTACCTCCTCCAGTTCGCCCCCAAATGTTTAAACTTTTTACTTCTGAGAGCAAACTCCCTATCGGGGGGAAAACTTGCAATGTGGAAAAACCTCCACAAACCATAACAAGTGGTTCAAATAATGGGCAAGTTTGAGTTCGCCAAGGTTGGTGTTATCGAGAGTAGTCTGTATTCACAGAAGAGTGAAAGACTAAAGGAAATTTACAGGCCTTTGATAAGTGTAAAGTTTTTATTTAATTAATATCACTTTATGATGCTTCAAGTTATTTGCAGACAATAACATTTGGTTACCTGATTAGCATCCGATGAGCAACATACTCTTGCTGTGCACACTTTATTAATGATCAAAGCACTCAAGTATTTTGACCCTTCATTAATTATCTCAGGTGACACATCTGTTGCAACCTCAATACCTACAAGAACACGCCATGCAAAATATTGTAAGAGGTTTTATTTATTTAGCACAAGTTGGAAACACTCTAAACTCACTGCAAACAAAATAATAGAGTCTACAGAATATATCTGTTCAAAGTTCCAGCCATTGAGAGGCCAACATTTTGGTTATGGCCTACATAGCTGAAAGTTTTGAGTGCCCTTTATGGTTCTGTATTGTCGGAATTCTGTCACAAGCCTCCAATGAATTCCCTGCTCATCGCCTTGGCACTAACATAACTGCCATCTGTACAGGCTATTTGACATATCATCCCTTTCACATCCAACTCTCAGTATCAAATGTATTTCTTATAGTTGTAACTCCAAGAATTTGTTGTTAAATAAAGCAATATCCCCTTATTGATATTTTACTAAATCTTCTCATCATCTGTCTGGTTGATAGAGTATTGATACTGTAAAGTGAATTTGTTTGTTGGCCAATCAAGGGAGCAAATGGTGAAATGCTACAGGGGTCGAACTCAGAACTATCAAAAGAGCAACACAGTTGAGCAACAGAGTCCAGAATTCTGGACCTGTAGATGTCAGACATTGTATATGCAGCTGCCCTAAACCACACACCATGCAGCCTCCACAACAATAAACCTCTCCAACATATTATTGATACGCTCAATCTCCATATGTGCTCTATACATTTCTTATGGTATTAAATGGAATTTTTTGTCCAACAATCAAGAACTTCTTTAGTTTACAATCAATTTCTTCATTCTCACAACCCTTATGTTTTATTTAGAACTGATACTGTCAGGAGGAACAACATACTAATAGCTCTTAGAGGTGAGCCCTTCAACCCCTAAGAGTGAATGACTTCTAATTTCTCTTTACAGTATCCCCCGTGAATCAAATACATATACATGTAGTAAGGTCAAGAGAATAAAGGAAATGATCACCAATTCAAGAAACGAATTTTCCTTGTCAGTGCCAGAGGAAATGTAAAGAGAACAGTTTGGAGAATATGAACACCAATGTAAGGGTGTAAGGAGTTTAATGGCTAGGTTTGTATGGGGCTGTTACAATGGGAAGTGACCTACTTGGAAAACCTTTTTTAAAAGTGTTGTGATAACCATGCACTGTACATTTAAAATTACACTAAAAAAGTATGCAATAATCAGAAAATTTCATTACAATCCTTTCACACATGCACCTTTACACATAAAGTTTGTACCTGCAAGCTTGAATGGCACTGCCTGAGGGGCAAGATCCCAGAATCTTTTGTGTATGTCTGTAAACTGGTCCCAAGATATCCATTCACAGTTTCCATAATCAAGATAAAAAACTTTTGCTTGCTTTTGGTCCATTTTTGTTACTTCTAAACACCAACATCTGTAAAAATAAGGTATTATTACATTCAAAGGTCGTTTTTAGCTTTTAATACAACAGTTACTATTTGAATTTACAACAACCTCCACAGGAATGCCTTGTTGAGCATGATTAAGACACAAATGAATGACAAAGAAAAGAACACAGGCAAAAAAAGCTTAAAGTATGATTGTTAGATTTACATAGGTTAACCTGTTGATTGGCACTGAGCTTTTCCCAATTGCTGCACATACACATACAAGTGATTGGAGCTGTGTCAACGTGTAATCATAGATCATTGTGGATGATTCTCAGGGTTGTTACATATTCATACATTTTTTCTCAAATCACCTAATAACTCAAAAAGATGCCAGAAATTGAATAAACACAGAAATTACAAATTGGATAATTATTTTTGTGATCTTTTTAAAAATCATTGATATCAAAAAACTTTTGTACAATGAAAAGATGACTTAGCAGTAGCGTTTGCTATTTGTGTGGTGTACTGTAAAATAAAAGTAACTGAGTGAGCAGAAACACCAACAAGGAAATTCATTTGACTGATTCGGTATTTACCTGTACCAAAGATTGTCTTCTGAAAACATTGCTGCACCCAGCTGATGCTTAACAGGCATACATCGCTTATAATGCTCCACAATCTGAAGATCAGTCCTAATTTGTTCAAGTTCCTTATAACTTCCACTCTAAAATAGAAATATTTATATAACAGATTACAATTCAAAATGAAACACACATGAGTCATTTTGACTGTATTTTGCTCTACACTCATGTGTATTGAGCACTTTCCAACAGCATTTGCTACAATTTCCCACAATTATATAACAGATTATAAATTAAGACAAACTTTCCTCTTGAGCTAAATCCTGTGGTTAGAGACAATTTTCATACTTTAGGATTGGGTCTGGAGGTCACTAATTAAGCCTTGAAAAACTTGCTGGACAGAAATGACATATCTCTCATAATGGACTAATTACCAATGACGTTGGCATTTAATGGATTACGACAATGCAACTTAGATTCCTTTTCCATCAAACCTTGGATATCTTAACATTCCTGTTAACCTTTTACACCTCAACATTACTGTACATCTTCTCCATACTCTTCTCAATACATTTCTTCCAGCAAAAACAAGGAGAATTTGCTTAACAATCAAAAGCTTCCTTAGTTTGTGATCATTTCCTTTACTCTTATGACCTCAAATGTGTGATTCATAGGTGATATAGATCAGGGCTCAAAATTGCGACCGATACAGTTGCCAATGCGACTAAATCTTATAACTTGGTGACAAAAATTTCAAGTTTAGTCCCCACTTTGACAACTATGTTCCTCCGATAAATAAAAGATTAAAGGTGAGAAACAATTTCTTCAGTCTTTTTTCTGCTTTTCTGCAAAAGGAAATGCAAATTTAGTCTGTTTACCTTTAGGGTTAAAACTTAAAATCACTTCAAGATTGCGACTTCCGAGACAACAGTACAGCAGCTTCTACATGGTGACCGTGGGCATAATATTTTGTTGAAAGGCAGCTGAATTTAAAAGTGTTCTGTAGCAGATTCTGTCACAAGGAGCCAGCTTTCAGAGTAGGAGCTTTCTTTCACCATGTACGCGATCAAGTGAGACGAGTCTACACCGAAAGTCATGAATTGTTTATCACAAGAGAAGGATACACTGAGGAATTTTCGTAATTTGCTGCAGTCTTGAAATTACCAGGAAGCAAGATCGTTGTTAGTATGCAAACAAGAAGCGTTTCAAATTCTTTCAAAAAGGTTTGTTCGGAGCATGAATCTCATGCAGCAGCTACCAGAGGATGTTTTTGCAATGTGTATATAAGCCAAACAACTATGTCAATTAAATGGGGCTCTAATCTGAGCTTCTATTCTTGTACTATCCGGCAACTGCATTTTTGAATTTGGTGACCATTTTTTCTTTGAAAGTCACCAAAAGGCGACTTGGAAGTTTTTTTAATTTTGAGCCCTGTAGATGGAAGAAATTAATAAAATGCTATTCATTCTTAAGGGTTAAAGGGTTAAAGAAACTTGAAATAAAGGCCTAACAGCAGGTGAAGTACTGGTGTATTTCTCTAACCCAGAGAATATGAAGCTGCAGTTGTTGCACTAGAACAACGTTTGACTACAATGCAGTAACTAAGAGGTTCAAGACATAAAAGCTCTACTGTAACAACAAGTAATAAACCTTTTCCCACCTTGTCATCAATGTTGGCCCAGAAGTGGCAAGAGTCTACAATATCAGTCACAAGAACTTTAAACTCCTGAGCTTTGATGTCATCCATGGTTCTAAGTGGTTTCTTACACTTCAAGAAGAGTTCATGCATCTCTGAATGGGTTAAAAGAATATGCCCGGGTCCTTTTTCTTTAGTGGCAACTGAAATCTCTGGTTTTCTAGTAGGACCAGAGTTGCCTTTTCCAACACTAGCCATAGAAGAAGAGCTGATCTTTACACTTTCCTCAAGTTTCTGATTATATATTGTTCTACCACTCTCCTGGTTTTGTCCAACACTTCTTTCGCATGATCCTTTCAATCCATTGACAAACACACCAGAGCCATCTCTCTTGCTGCTTCCTGAGCCAAGTGCACCATCAGAGAAGCTATTATATGTGGGTGATTGAGACCCCATGGCATTGCAGCTAGATACAGAGCTCTCACTAGAAGTAAGTGATTGCCCCATGGTACCCACTGAGAGAGTAAATGAGGGCACAAAAGGATCAACAATGAGCAATGAGGCACTAGACACCAGTAAGCTTTTATTAAAATGACCATAAATAATTGCCTTGCAAATTGAAGTTGGGTTCCAGAAACATCCTGATGGAAAATATTACCAACCCAGCAATGAACTCTCCCACAAAAGGGAGAGGGAGCCAACCAGGGCTCTTCTCTAGCAGAGCCACAGGTGACTGACTTGGGCTTAAGGTAACTTGTAACTTGTCTTTCAACTTGTCACAGTGGAAAGAGGAAAGGGAAAGAGGGTGGTAGTCTACAAGAACAGCCCCCTCAAGAATGCTAATAATCATAAAAACTCCATTAAATACATGTAAACAGCAAAGGGAATTCTCCTGTATACACAATTCTCTGTTCTGGAAAGACTGATTGCATCAAATTGTATCATTTGCCTCCTCTGCTTCAAAATACTGATTAATCTTATTGACTTGTAATTTACAGTTTTGCAAGAATTCATTTGAACTGCAGAAAGGAAATGAAATGACGAAACAGTTCTAAGAGTCATGTCTTTGTTACACTTGTTTTCAAGGCCCAGTGCAAGAAAGATCAGGTGGGCAGGTACCCAATTACACCCTTAGGAATGAAGATGGAGCAGTGCCTTCAACAGACACTATGAACTTCTCACCTACTAAGTTGTCTTGCTGCTTGGCTTTGCCTTTCTGTTGTTTAGGAGTGATTGTAAGTATCTTATCTCCTATTTTTGTACCTTTCAATTTTTCTAAGGCAGCTACAGCTTCATCCTTTTGTGCAAAGTAGACAAAGGCATATCTGCAATTAAATTTAACAAAAACATTTGAAAAATGGATACAAGAGACAGTACTACAATTTTCTTTCCTTCAGTGAATGTGAATAGCAGGGGCATATACCAATTTTGGTAAAAAGTAAACAATGGCACCAAAACAAATCTTCAATTTGGCCCAAGGCTGTGATAAAGAATGATGCTCTCAAGCATGGGGCAACAAAACAATGAAACAATTCAAAGGTGATACATACCAGCATTTGTGCGATTGATAACTCATTAAAATACAAATAAATTTTTTGACATGTAGTTTTTTTTTAAAATCTCTTGATCCCCGATGGTAACTTTCACTGAAAAATTTAGTTCACTCACTACAGCTCCCCTACAAAAGGTATTGCTAATTTCAATAATTAAACAAAATTTATCATACATCAATAAAAGATAAACAATTCCAACATGTTGGGTTCATAAACATGTACTTACTTCTCTTTCATTAAAATTTGCACTACTTTTCCATGTACACTGAAGATTTGTTTGAGTGATTCCTAGAGAAAACCAAAGAACTAATAGTGATCTTTATTTAAGTAAAGACAGATACACAATGAAAAAATACATTACAATGTAAATTTTAAAAATTTCAGTTTAATTATTACTTTGGGATCCCCCAAAAACCAACAATTTCCCTGCTGTCACCAACTTACTCTTTCCAAACAAAAATACCTTTTTTAAGTGAACTGGTTTTCCTAAATTACTACATTGGAATGGCTATAAGCAAATCATTCCTAGAAGAATTCTTATGAAGAGTAACTTGTTATCAACAATTATTTCTGTAAGTTAAAATCATTCAGTAACATGAAGCTTTCATCATTATTACAAATAGTAAATTCCCTGGCTTGAAACAACATTTAGGACTAATTGCATTTTTCCTTATGTTGAAAAAATTTCTCCAAGATCATTTCTCAATTAATTAACCCTTTAACTCCCAAAAGTGATTAACAAATGACTTCTCCCTATAATATCTAAACATTATCGAGCAAATAGGTCATGAGAATATTCAAACTTATCAGGCAGAAGTTGTTTTCCTAATTTACAAGGAAATGTGTATTATCTAGAGTTGAGAATTAACAATCAGATCTTTGGAGTTAAAGGTTAAATTCCACTGTACCTGTGTCGTTCCTGCTGGAAAATTGCTCACATGAATGGGATATCCCCTGTTTTCCTTTATCATAGCTATCACAGAATTTTCTTGACCATACATTTTCTTTTTCTCTCCTGCCGTTCTCGTTGGTGACAGAGCACTTTCCGTTTCCCAGCTTTCTTCAGACAAAACTGTTTTCATTTCCCTTGGCAATGACAAAGGACTCCTGTAGGGAACACTACTACTAGGTTCTGTAACAACAGCATCTTCACTCACAAAACCATTTGTGGTTACAGATTTTTTAGTGTCTATCTTTGATTGTTCCTTTCTGTCTTTCATTAATTTTGCATTCTGAACAGAGTTCCGTATAATGGCTGGATTAATCTTCAACACAGAGTCACGTAATTTGTAACCATTCAAGTCACTCATTGCTTGGACAGCATCTGCATGTTCGGAAAACCTCAGAAATGCAATCCTAAAAATTTGATTTTCATCATAATGAAAATGAGAAAATAAATAACTATCAGTAGAACCTGAAAGTATTATACTTAACACTAGAGATAAAGCAGAATTTGCCAAGTACTATAATTCCTACTGTATTTAAGCCAGCTCCTACTACTTCTCAAGGAAAGGAAAAAATTATTTTTAGAAAAGCAGGCGTTTATTTGTCAGTGCTGCACTGCTTGGCATATTATGCACCAAAGTAACAGGAATCATTTCAGAGAGAAATAATTATTATGTTTCGAAAGGTTCTGATTTGCTCACATTAACTTTCATTTTCTGCATTGCTTACATTAACTTTAACTTAACTCAAGGAAAGGAAAAAATTATTTTTAGAAAAGCAGGCATTTATTTGTCAGTGCTGCACTGCTTGGCATATTATGCACCAAAGTAACAGGAATCATTTCAGAGAGAAATAATTATTATGTTTCGAAAGGTTCTGATTTGCTCACATTAACTTTCATTTTCTGCATTGCTTACATTAACTTTAACTTAACTCAAGGAAAGGAAAAAATTATTTTTAGAAAAGCAGGCATTTATTTGTCAGTGCTGCACTGCTTGGCATATTATGCACCAAAGTAACAGGAATCATTTCAGAGAGAAATAATTATTATGTTTCGAAAGGTTCTGATTTGCTCACATTAACTTTCATTTTCTGCATTGCTTACATTAACTTTCATTTTCATTTTTTTGTTATTAGTGAATCTTCAGTCTCTAATAGGTTACTATTTATAGCACATTGTGTCAAAGTATTATCAGCACAATACAAATTGTATATGTATAAGGAAATGCCACAAAGCAGGCCTTGGCAGACTTTTTATGAAATTGGAAACAATCTCCCCTCCTACCAAATATACACAAACATGGCAATGATTAGAGCTGATGTGCTCCACTGACAACCAACCTGTTAGAATTTTCTATCTTCACTTCCTTTAAACTTTTAAAATGCTTGAAAATATCCCTCAGTTCACTCTGCAAATATAAGTAGAATTTAGAAAGCCAGATGAAAAAAGAACCAAAATTAAAATCACTCACTTACAAAAACAGAAATAATCAGCGAGAAAAATTCAGCTATGTCAAATTTGTGTAAGAGAATCCTGAAAATCTTCTGCATAAAACTTTCAGTCTGATCTTACAAAGAGGCAAGACTGTCTTAATACCACGAACTTAGCTTCAGCAATCCATACCCTCCACAACATTAGGCTAACAATTTTTTTTCTCATTAACCCTTCAACCCCTAAGAGTGTGACTAACATCTAATTTCTCCTTATAATATCACCTTTGAATCACACTTCAAGGTCACAAGAAGAAAGGAAATGATCACCAACTAAAGAAGTTCTTGATTGTTAGACAAATTCTCCTACTCAGTACCTTTGGAAATGTATGGAAAACAGTATGGAGATTATGTATGATGATGTAAGTCGGGGTGTAGAGGGTGAAGTCTCGGGCCTGTATTAGATTTGTGGTACGTGGGAGCAAACCAATAGGGGAGCTACTGAAATCTGATACACAGCTGTTAGCAGGAATTAACCCCCTGCTTTTTCCATCATCCACTTTTTTTTGTTCCTCTCCATAAAACGACTACGTGGGTTTGGCTGATAAGGACTTCAGTCTGGTTAGTGTTCAAAAAACCTTTCATTATAACACTTCGCCTGAAAATTTTACAACTGAAAAGTACACTGGTTGAAATATTGACTCAACAACTTGGCTCATATCTCTGCAATTAGAAGGGAAAACATTATGTGCCATTCAACCCTTCAACTTGCATGAGTGACCAAGACAGAATTTCTCCTTACAAAATCAACACAACATCAAACAGACAAGGGATGAGAATATAGAAAAATATCACTTTGAGGATTATTAGTTGATCCAAAACCAAATTCTTTGAAATAGCATCACAAGAATTGTGCAGAAGACAGTAAGGAGAATATGAATCTTAGTAGTAAAAGGGTTAAATGGAGAGAGGCAGGTGAGACAACTAAAAGTAAATTTATTGTATACAAACTTACCTCTTGACAATTTAATGGCAAATGCCCGATATGAATCCCGTATAGCCCTTTAAAGTTTGGTAAAATGTCTTTTTTTTGGTCTGAATCTACCGTCACTTTCAAGGAAGCTTTATCGTGTACAACAGTTCGGTCTTTTGATTTGCTCCTCTTGTTTCGAGGCCACTCTGAAGGATGCAGAGGGTTAAGTCCATTTGGGACACCTTCGGCCTTCTTTGCATGTTTGGAGATAAACACCCCCTTTTCAGGAACTCCAAACACTTTATTTTCTCCATCCTTTACGGAAAATTCCAGCCTTGCAACGTCTGGGATAGCCAGCAAAAATTCATAGAGGTCTTGGAAGCCATACTTTTTGAAATCAAGTTTTGAGTTTGTCAACTGATGATAATCTTTCTCTACCCTCGTTTGCTTGATCCCCTTTATGCTAGATAACAACACGGACCTTAAAGATATCTTAACTGACTGAGGCACTTCTCCAGCCATTGAAAACAACAAAGTCCGTGGAACATGACCTGGTGATTAGCTTTTCCAAAACAATCAAGGCGACTGTTGCAGACCGTACACACGACCACGTGCCTCAGCGGCTATCATATAAATACCAGGCGCGTTTCTAAGATCACGGTGATCAAACGTGCATGCGCTAATGAGTCAGTTTTGGATAGCGATAAATTTCAGGGAAACGATGTTATGTCACGCAAAAGTCACGATAAGAATTGTAATTTTTTATCAAACAAGTTACACGCTTTTTTGAAAAGCATTGTGATTGAATGGCCTGTGTGGTTGTTTATAGCTCCTCCAAGACAAATTGGTTTTCTCGGATCTGACTGCTTGAAAGCGAGATTTCGGTCCGTGTCTCTCAATCGTTTAATCGTCTAAGAGAGACAAAGCAAAGCGGTTCTGGGACGGAAGGGATAAATGCAATCTAGAAAGCAGAGGCCATTTCTTTATTTGCGGCTACTTTGAAAAAAAAAGTTAAATTGAGTGCAATGCCTTAGCATGCCCACTTCATTACGGTAGTTTCCTTTTTAAATAAAAAAAAACAACAACAACAACTTTGTCGGCGATATGTTTTGGATAATTTTTACTTCTTTGCGATATAAACTCTCAAATATAGTCGATGGGGGAAGTCGAGGGCCTAATAATTCTCAGTGGGGATAACGCTATGCGACGGATAAATCTCTCTCAGCCCTGGATAAATCGCTACCCAGTGGATTAAAAAACGTATTTCCGTCTTAATATCTAACGCCCGATAGGGATTTATCAAGTGAATAACGTTATCCACTCCTAGAATCTGTGATTAGGTTAGCAAACTCGCGCCACTCTCTCAATCTGTGACTGGGTTAGCAAACTCGCACCACTCTCTCAAGTGAAAACCGGCAATTAAGACTTGGTCGCCCGCGTTTTCCCGCGATTAGGAAGTTTAGTTGATTTCACTTCGAGTTCTCATCGGTTTTGAAAGGTATTTTCCTTTCTTCCGATTAGTCAATGTGACTTCTTCTATTTTGATTTAGGAAAACAATCTTAGCAAAGAACACAACTGCTCAGGAGCTGAACGGGGGGTGAAGGAAACTTCGGTTGGCTTTCGGCCGCCGGACAGGAATGCCGAACAAGAAATTTTTTACCAAAAAATGTTTATTAAAAGACTATTGCGAACAAATATTCTGATATTTTAGCATTCTACTCAATACACAGCTTTTTCAAGTGAATACAATTGTTGCAACGCTGTAAAGATTTTCAATGCACCTAAAAATTATTGGTCGCCTGCAACCAGAACTTTATTTGATACCTTATCCGTTTCAGCAAAAAGTAATTTATATGTACTCTAGATTAAACTAAATTGCAGAAATAAAAGAGTTTATTTCATGCTTACCCGAAATAAACAATCAATAACCTTCCCCCTAAAATAGGATGGGAGACTTTAAGCGTTGGAGAGCAACCTTTATTGAGAGTGAACAACTAATTAGTTTTCAACTTTCAGCAAGCGTCAATTAGGCTGCTTTTGCATGAAAAAGTTTGAATGAAAAACGAATTCATCTTACTCGCTCAAAAATTAACAGATGTCCAGCGGTTAGCTGGACATCTGTTAATTTTCGTAATTCAGTCAAACAAGTACAATGTGGTAATATTACAAAATTCTCAAAAAACTCGACACGCTATCTCAAGGGGTACTCTTAAGTTTTTGAGCTGAAGACAGCTTACTTGCTTATAAGCTAGCCTAAGGCGTAAATATCTGGCTGTTAGAGAATTTTCAAATATCACTTTTTATTGTAATAAAAAGTCTGAATATTACCCATGCTCGTGCATTTTAATCTGAGCTGCAGAGTGCATATTGAGCATTTCTTATAGATGTGAATTGGAATTCCTAGAAAATCATATTAAAACAATTGATCGTGTAGTGTGATCCTCCGGGTAAGGGTAGTCTGGAAAAGTACGGTCGACAGATGAACGCTACCAAGGTCTCTCAGCCAAGATTCAAAACATTCGACTGACCACAACCTCCTCACATAACTCTGATGATGGCTTCCAACTATATTTTTGAAACATCTGTCTCTCCCACCGAAAACGGCCATTTTTTAAGAACTATCTGGAGCGGCATGAGTGCGCTTACCGATCGACTGTTATTATCAGGTTTAAATCATTTTCTTTACAATGAAGCAAATAAAGCAAATTTATTAAAGTATTACTACCAGCGTCCACAGCCTCCCACAGTTTTTTCCTCACTTGTAATTAGTGAGCCACAAGCTTACACAGCAACAAAACAATAGAGAAGAAAAGAGGAGATTCTACAGCACTGTGCCTTGCTCCTGATTTGCTGATTTTCATTGTGCCAACATTGACGCTGGGATCGATTAGTATCGTGTTGTTGAACCTAGGGACGCGGAACACGAACCTTTTCACCATTCCGTTACGCTCGAACTTTGGAAAGCCTGGTGGAAATAGAACGTATTCGTTGTTTCCTGTTAAAGCCTGTGAGGGAGAGAGGTAAATGTATAGTATGTTAGCACCCTGTACCGATTGACATATGTATACAAACTTAAAATGACGATGGCCATGATAAAGACGAACCAGCCACCAGTCATTTTATTGTTACCCGCGTTAATGATATTTTTATTTAATAGCATAAAAATATTTATCCATTTTCACATCTTTTTTCCTTTTTGATGTCGACCTTTTCCTCTAGTTAATGGCGTGCATCGAATCACAAAGGGCTAATCATGAAAGGATAGCATTAGAACTGTTTCCTGGAAAATCAAGGATTCAATTGATGCGATTTTTCAGGAATGCAGATTTTTTTTGCACCCTGTGAGTAAGACTTTTAATCTTTCAGTAAATAGATAGCTTGCTCGGAAATCTCTTCTTTCGCCATCATAAGAATCCTGAGAGGTAACCAATATGTTTACTGACAATTGCTGTAACGTTGGGACCCTATGCCCCTTTTAAGGAATCTTAGTTCCGCTTTTCGCTGGTGAACCGTACACATCGTTTTTCGCCCTCCTTTGACACGCCACTTCACCCCTCCCCACGCGAGATCAGCCAAGAGACACTCACCCCTTTATTGAGCACCATTTCTGAGTTTCCACCCATGTTGAATATTTTAGGACAGTCGTCTTTATCATTGGGATCATCAGGAACACAAATGTCTTCTCCTGGTAGCTCATCGTCATCCACTTCTTCGGGTTCCTCTGCCACGCTTCTGATGCTCATTCCGACATCAAGGAACTGACCTATTTCGTTTGCACCAGTAGTATCATTTCTGCACACATCAGAGTTCATGCCGCAGAACTGCCAGTCACTAACCTTAAGAAAGGGGAAAGAGAAAAGGATTAAGACTCAATAAACGTGTAATCTAAAGACTTCCACGACCACTACCCTGTTGGAATCGAATCGTAACAAAGCATGTTTTTGATCAAGAGAGAAATAAATCGTGGTGCAGACCCTTAGGGGGGTCAGGTAAATCTTATCATGACTCAACCAATATCCTCTGACACCCCTCCTCTCCGGCGATAAATATCGATCGATGAACAAAATAGAGTACATCAGATCTGCTCTCACAAATAAAAGCTCTCTGACCTGTGTACAAAAGGAAATCGATGCAACTTACTTTGATATTAAATTTGAAAGTTCCACTTCGAACATTAAATGACTCGTTTCCAAATTTGATTTTTCCTGACTTCAGAAATAGTACCACCTGAATTTCTAGGTTTGCTTGAGGACCAGCCAGGGAAACAGACAAGTTGATACGTTTGACAGGGAGTCCTTGATAAGTTGTAGAGTTATCCAACGACGAGAAGGTGAACTTTTGAATTTGAGTTACCAAGGAGGTTAATGCATGTTTCTTTTGTGTGGGACCGGTAAGACCGACCACATTTCCATTCGAATCTTTTTCTTCCATAGAGTCAACTTGAAATGTTAGCATCTCATCGTCGTCGTCGAAGTCCTCTTCCTCCAATTCCTCATCATCATCATCCTTGTCAAAATGAACTGCCTTTATTTTTCCTGTGTTGCCTTCTATTCTGACTGAAGTGTCATATCCCCGAATTGTAACAGTGTTGGCATTTGTATCGATGTCATCTTCGTCAGCCAAGCACGTTACAAGGAGAACGGCTGTCAAAGAAAAAGGCCAAGAGAGAATAAGTGTAATTTAAAAGGAAAATTTTCTGCTTTAAATTAACCCTTTGACCCATAAGAGTGACTAGCTTGTAATTTCTCCCCACAATTTCATCCTTGAATCACACATGAAGAAAACGAGAATAAAGAAAATAATCACCAAATAAAGAAGCTCTTGATTGTTAAACAAATTCTCCTTTTCAGCACTATAAGAAATGCATGGAGAACAGTAGGGAGAACATGCATAATGATGTTAAGGTAAAAAAGGTCAAGAATCGGACCCAGACTCTCAACAACTGGCACTGACTGAAACTTAACCAAGTTTGTGTTCTATCGGACGACTGGCTTTAAACCATTTCTGCTGAGACTAAAACAAACTCTTATAGTCGTTTTTACCATTATTTAAATCAAGAATAACCGTTTCCAAGAAGATGTAATCGTTAGTTGAGCAGAAAAGTTCACGTTCTGACTTGATCTTTCAAAATCAAAAGTACTTCGGAGGAGTCATCTGATCGTCTATAAATGAAACCTTGCATACATTAATTTACCGAGCAGCTCAAAGTTTAAAAATATTCGTTTCAACCACAGTTGAAAAGTCGAATCCTCGAGGCATTCATGTTATCGTCTTTTTATTAGCGAACACCTGGCTAGACACATAAATCCTTTGATCTAAGATGTAAATGATTCAAGATATTCTAGAATCAATATGATTTATGTAAATAGTTAAACGAGAAATTCGTATTGTTGCTTACTGAAGTGAGATTAGGATGAGTTTTTAATCCCAATATCCAAGTGAGGTTCAGAATTGCTCTATTTATTTGTGACATTAGTCCAAATCTCATATTACCTTCCGTTATGTTATTCATTAGCAGATTGGAAGAAAAGTATTTTAAAACAATGCCCGTTCGTGTTTGTTTAGGAGCGTTGAGTTAGTCTAACTTGGCACCTTATTGTTTGAAAAGAAATCTATAACCATATCTATTGCAATTATATAGCAGCAATGAATTCGTCTTAAAATATATATGGTAGCTGCATGTTTTCGATCAAACCAACATAGCAATATAACAAAGAGTGGATGAGCCTGCTAAAATGAAAAACGCTTTAGCAAATCAGCCAAAGAGCACGAAATCATACCATTGCCATTGGTTTACAGGCAAGCTGTCTCAGAGAGTAATTTGTATCACCTGGATGCTTTGGCTCTCTTCACAGTCCATGAAAAAGTTCATACGCATGAGCTGCAATGAATTTTGAACGTGCCTATCTCGGTATTAGGTTGTCGGCCTGTCGACTTTGGAAGAGTGTCACCTGGGTACTAATCTCTCCTCATAGAATGCTATCATTTTTTGTCAGCATGCTCGCGTTTGTCACAAAAAGACTACACATCGACCGTTTCTGTTATATTGTAAAACGTGTGAAAGTTTTTCTTTCGCGGAGTAGTCCTTACATCGATATTACTTCACAGGAAAATTAGACTGGAAGTCTCCTGTTGAAGAGGTTTATAATGGTTCGCCGTATGAGTAGGTCATAAAGATGTCATTCATTTTTTTAAGGTTGAAAATGAAATTATCTATTCACCTCTAATGTATTGAACCATTAAGCAAATTTCCATTTGTAATTAAATACACTTAAAGAAGCTTTCTCACGCGCATCAATTTCAAATCCAGAACTCTTGAAATTAGCTTTTAACAACAGAGCTACCTTAAGTGGAAAATTGAAAATTCACTGCTTCGACTAATTAACCTCTTTAAGTATAGCTTTGGCTTCAAAATATTTTTATATTGCTTTTATAGCGTTCAATATAGTGGCCTCTCTTTGAACGATGTTGGTTTTTCTTTTTCCTGAGTATGTTTTGAAAAAAACTGTATGTTAAATTTAAACATGTTTCATGAGCTGAAGCAAACTAAAATTTCAAATGAACGCCATAAGAAGACTATCGCGCTTTGTTTCGTAACAGCGCCATATCGATTGGAACGAATGAAAATTGAAGACTTGGACATTATTGCCTAGAATTATAATGGAGATAAATATATTTTTTGCTTAAATGATGAGAGGTAAAGATAATAAAACGAAAATACATGTAGATTTAAAATTAACGAAGTTTCCTCGCTGCTCGATTAGAATTAAATAAAAAATTAATCAGCGCAAGTTAATCAGTCGGTTAGTCACAAATCATTAATTCTCATAACAATGTAATTTCCTTAACAAAGGGGGAAAATTAAAGCTATTTTCCGGTCTAATTTTACGATTTTTAGTAGATATAACTCACCAAAACAGACGAACAGCAAGGAGAAACGAGAGGAAATCATGTCAGATTTCAGTGCTCGACTGTCAGGACTACAACAACCTCTTTCCTCGACGAGGAAAGAAAATTATGAAAACTTTTATTACAAGCGCATTAATATAGCAACTGATTGGAAACTAATTATCCCCTCGGGCTCTGACGTTTCAATTGGCAGTAACTTGTATTGATCGATATACCGTTGCATTAATATTACACCGGTTGTTGCCAAACATACATTTAAAAAACCCTGAAAAAGAGCTTACTTCAAGCGCGAACCGATTTTAAGCGGTGTTCAGCTTCCCCCATCTCCACCTCTTCCTAATCTTCGATAAAATTTGTAAGAAAGATTTCAAACCCTTTACTGTATATTAAGATTGCAAGTATTTTGGGATAATGACTTGTTTAGCCAAATAAAGGTCGTTGTTAGGGCAATATTTCTGTTGTTTACGCGATGTAAAACTTTGGAAACACATTAACAAAGAAAAACGCCTTACGATCTGATGTACGTCGTGCAGTCTGAGGCGGCTCTGACACGCAATAGAACTTTCACAAGACTATTAAAAGTGCAAGACTGAAAGAACTAAGAAATCTCAGACAACACAGTAGATTTTTGCTACCAGGTAGAAAGCAAAGCTACATCATTCCGCACTGTAGAGTTAAATTTCTTAAAGCGCGTGACGAGGTATGAGGATTTTACACAATTTAAAGGTAGCTTAAATAGGGTATTTTAATACGCGCGACGCACGAGGAATCTATTAAACTCAAACCCTTAACGGTTCATTGTTTACCGAAAACCACCATTGTGCAAGTCACGTGACGATAATTAGAGTGGCAAAGACAGGAATCACTGAAATGGTTGAAGAGTTTCCTGTTTACACACAATTTATATCATTAAGTTTTCGTCTCTTTTTGTAACTTCTCTCTTTTCCTTTGTAACGTGTGGAGTTCTCACCCTTTAACAGTCCCAAGATATCATCTGAAGTTTCCCCCTTCTAATAGCTTTTATTTTTAAAATAAATCCGTGGATAGAGAATTTGTGTGTTAATCAACTCTGGGATTTACGTGTTTGAATGATTTTAGGCTTGCTCACCAAACTCGAAACTGTTGATGAACATCAAAAGTTTTCGTCCATTTCCTTCCAATGAAAAACAAAATCCGCAAGTGATGTTGATTTTGCTACTAACAAAGAGAAATATTTCTTTATAAATTTTTGAGTTTATTAGGATCGCACTGCTCGGGCCACGAAATAAAAGAAACTCTTCTCAATGCTCAAAACGCGAAGAAACTTTTTCACCAATCTTGATGTTTGCTGAGGACTGAAATGAATTTGCCGACAAAATCCGGACTTGTCTAGACGTCTGTGGGAAAGAATGTTTCTAGAAAACACCATAATCCGGTTTCATATAAGATATTTCACCTTTTATAAAACATGACCATTGATCAGTAAATTTTATCATGTCTATTTTAAGGTTGATATGAATCTCATTATTTTCTCACGGCACGATGTTGTTTGCTTCAAATAACGGTCGTTAAATACTTGTTACTCTTTCAGTATCGTTTACTTATGGCAACCAGGTAAAACAAAACTAAAGAGATGAGGATGAGCCTGTTTATTTATCTGCTTCTTCAAACTAATGGCTTATTGAATCGTGTAATCTTTCTGTAACCAGGAAATCGCTGTTCACGGTATTAGTTGACAAAAAAAAATTGGGAGAGAAGAATCTCGACTTTTATTTAATCTGTTAGATGAGTCTAGGAAGTGGGCGATGAACGGGAATCGGTCTTGAAACTTTCTGTTGAGTGAGAAGATCGAAATCATAGACAGAGTTCCGAAATTTGAAATGCAGTTTTGTCAATCGTCCCGAAGCTCGAGAGAAATGAAAATATATCTTTCAGCACTCAGAATAATTGCTCCCTATTTTCTCAATCAACCCCTGGACAGCAGCTCGAAAGCAATGTATCGCATTCAGTTTATAGAAAAGAAAAAAAAAAAAAGATTGTAACGTTCGGAAAATCAAACTACTGTTTCCCTGCCACGAAATCTTTCTAACGGTCTTTCGGAATTATAGACTCAAACAATATTTCTGCGGGTGCTAAAATGTGATCGTTTTATTGGATATTTTACTTTCAACATATGCTAATTGCATGTCACGTCTATTTTAAACTTCCTACGTCATTTCTTGTCTCTCACAAATGTATATTTATCTTTTAGTTCACACAGAGGGTATGGCAAAATATATTACGCTTTCACTATCGGTTTCTAATAGCAACCATGCATATCAAAGATAAGGATGTTTAGTTTTCAGGAAGTTTACCACTAATAGCTTTCTCATTATCGTAAACTTATATTTCTTTTAGCAACTGAGATAAGGTACTTGATCGTTATCTGTTCCAGCAAATGAGGATTGCAAATGGGAACTGAGAGGATTTTTTATCAAAGTTACCAGTTTAGCTTTTCATTTCATCAAACCGGGAAATGAGTTTTTAGATATGACCTTTGTTTAACGAAAAACATTTGAAATAAACATTTCTTTCCTCTCAGTGCCTTTGAGAAGACTCTTAGAGAAATAAAAGCTTTATGTTATTAACTTAGGTATCCAGGGACAACAGAGTTGTATTGTATTGTTTTCACCGTAATGAGAACCTCTATGGTATGTTTTGGAGACCGATTTAGTGACCAGAAAACCCCTTTTGAAATAAGAATATAAAAAAAACAACAACAACAGACTCAAAAAAACGACTACTAACTATGGTAGAAACTTGTAACTCGTTTTTTTTCTCAGGAAGGATAGTAATGTAAAACCATGGCCACTGGATAAAAATTGTATTCTACCAGAAGGGTGTTCTTTTTATTATCAGTTTCAGTTGTTTATAATTGCTACGGAAAGGTAACAAACTACTATAAATGAATCTTGCAAAAGAGTCTGCTAAACCAATTAATAAAAGCAACACAGAGACGCAAACATACTAAGCAACAAAAGATAGGAAACGAAATGCAGTGATTGGCCAGCGTTGTGCCCTCCTCCACCAGGCTTGTTCGTTGGATTAGTAACCGCAGGGATGTAAGAACCAACATTGACACTAGGGTCGATGAGGACTGTGTCGTTGAACCGTGGGATGCGGAAAGTGAATTTCTTCACTAGTCCTCCTATGTTCTCAAACTTTGGGTAACCTGTGGGAAATGCCACGTAGTCGTTGTTACCCGTAACCACCTGCGGGAAAATCCGAAAAAATAAATACAATTTAATTATTTCAGGAATTGTCAATAAGATATTTCAAGAGGAAGGTCAGAGCACCGCAGAGCAACCGCATCAGCTTTTTCTTTCACAGCAATAAACGAGCCACCAAATACGAATACGTTTCCAATACTTATGGAGGCGGGGAGGGCTGAAAACGCGTTTGACTGACTTGTGAGCTCATCTGATAAATTGTGAGAATAGCTGGAGCCAATCAGGGTATAGAAGAATCTTTCTGAGGGTAACAACAAATTAAATTTAGCCGGACAAGCAACCCCGAATTTCGACCCCAGGAACGCATTTCACGTCTAGTCATTCGAAAGACACTCACCCCTCTATTGAGCACCATGGTCGAGTTTCCACCCATGTTGAATATTTTAGGGCAGTCGTCTTTCTCGTCGGGATCATCGTTAACGCAAATTTCGGCGGATTCGTTTTCAGATTCTTCTATCTCTTCAGGTTCTTCTGCCTGACTTCTAATGCTGAGTGCAAGATCAAGGTACTGGCCAGTTTCATTCTGGTTGTTCTTAGTACAAATGTCAGAATTTCCGCCGCAGAACTTCCAGTCACTAACCTGTCATGGAATTAGTAAAGCTCGTTTGCATGCAAAAGTTGAGATGCTAACTAGCTAGCTTTGATAGATTCACTTCAGTTCCTGAGAGGATTATGGGATTTGGTGGCGTTTTTCAAATTCGCTTGAGTAAAAATTATCGATACTACAAAGAAATTTCCAACCGAGTCAGGTCGAGCGTAATTCTAGATTGCATTGGTTTTGCTTAGCTTCGCTCTGTGATTGGTCAGGAAAACTTACGCCATCCTCTCAACCAATCACAGGCCTCACGATCTAATCGCGATTCGGTCACTCGCGTTTTCCCGCGCTTCTGGCGGTTTGCTTGTTTTTTTTTTTTGCGTTTTCCTTGATTCCATGAGACATTTTCCTTCGTTCTGATTAGCTTTTTTTATTGTTTTGGTTTGGCTTTATTGAACTCTAAGCCGGGAGATTTTTTTTAAACTCTCCACCCTGGGTATTTAAGTGTCACTGTACCTCAGCAAATTTAAGTGATCTCACCCCATCTCTGGCCTAGCTGAACATAAAAGAGCGTTAGAAGTGTTCTGCGCTCCGAAACCCACTTTAATGTGGTATTGCGAGCGTAACCCACACAGATGAAAATTATGCCTTATCATAGCCATACTAAATACCAAACGTACCTTGATGTTGAATTTGAAGGTTCCACTTTTCACTGAAAATGTCTCGTTTCCAAACGTGACGTTTCCATCCCTCAAAAACAGCATCACTTGCAGATCAACGCTGGCGTTGGGACCAGTGAGGTGCACAGACAGGTTGACATTTTTGACAGGGATTCCTTGATAAGTTGACGAGTTGTCCAACTGTGTGAAGGTATACTTTTCAATCTGAGATACCAAGGAGCTCACTCCATGTTTTTTCTTTGATGGCCCCGTCAGACCGACCGGGTTCCCAGCCGAGTCTATTTCCTGCAGTGAGTCAATTTGAAAAGTCAAAACACCTTCATTGTCGTCACTAAAATCTTCCATTTCGCCTTCATCGTCATCGTCATCTTCGTCATCGTCATCCTTCTCATGATGAACTGCCCTTATTGTTCCTGTATTGCCTTCTATTCTGACCGACGTATCATTTCCACGAATTGTAACGGTGTTGGCAGCCATGTCTACGTCATCTTCGTCAGCCAAGGATGTCGCAAGGAGGACAGCTGTAAACAATTCGGCAAGTGAATCAGGTAAATAACTCTTTTGACCAAGTTGGAAATAGTAGTGACTGCAGCTTAGCAGTATTTTTTGTTTGTTTGTTTGTTTGTTTGTTTGTTTTTTTTGTCGTTGTATTCAAAATCTGCCGATTGGGTCCAATTCTTAACCGCGTTACCAGGAGCTCGTGAAACAAAGAGACGCAAACACAAGTCTACTAAACTATGTGACTAATTTTCCGGAAGCCGTTTTCAAGACGCCAAGAGATTGTGTACAGGAACGGGGATAATTGTGAAGGCATTGATATGAAAATTATTTCAGTTTTTAACCTTGAGAAAATGAAACACCTTTTACAAAAAAAGTTTTCACGGTTCTTTAATAGTCATTATAAAGTTAACTAAGGTTTTCCGAATATCGGGATGAACTAGTGACTGAAGATGTAAATGTTTATGTTCCTGGGGTAAAGCATGTTGAGGTCGAGTTTATAAGCTGGTTTACGACATGGAACAAAAAATTATATTGGCCTCGAAGAGACTCAGCAGCATTCCATGAAAACATTTCTTTCAAAACGATATACACACTTGGATACACCATCGAATATCATAATTGGTCTAAGATGAGAGTTAATCGTTTGACAAAATTAGTGAGCGTTCACGCTAAAAAAATTCAATTCATTGCACATTCAATGCTTACAATAAACAGAACAGTTCTGTGCTGTCAAACGTACAAACCAACTTTGCAATATAGCTCAAGGTGAACTGTCATGGCTGCCATGGACGGAGTAAATCATTCTGCTTAACCATCTTATTGTCATGAATAAATTCCCAAAATCCTTCACTTATTCAACTGATGCTGAAAAAATGGCATGCGCTTTGTATAGTTTTCGTCGTTCGTCTCAACAAATGAATAACTTTCACCAACTTATGTCAGAAGCACATGGATTTATATTTTAAAATTTTAGGATTTTTTTTCCTTTTTCAATCGTTCTATCTAAGTTTCAGGGAAAAGCAGATAATGTATACTAGGATTTGTTCCTGTCACCCAATCAACAAACGAGCAGAATCCACATAAATTTTGATAGGTTAAACAATATTCCTTTTTTTTGTTATGACACCGTTAACCCATTCTGCTTTTCTCCCAAAGGGAGAGACAGAGGCGGGAAAGGTTTCGAATGAAAAACGGTCTCCTGAGTTTTCCGAACTACTCTTTTAAGGCTAATCATAGAGTTTCCGTAAAGGTTTAAAAACCAATCGAGTGATGGTGTTTCAAAGCTGCTTGAATTACTGAATTACTGGAACTGCCGAATTTCATTTTTTTTTTAATGTATAATAACGCTTGTAAAGTCAACGAAAAATTTGCACTCGATAGTTTATATCGCTGGCAGATTTTAAACCGACGAGATCCAAAAACGGAGAAAGAGGCACGATAAATGACATGTACATATTGACTGAGTGGAAAGGCTGGACTGGAAACTATTTGACTTGAAGTCATGGCGAACTGACTGAGCGCCGCGACGTCCTTGCGTTATGACCGAGAGCTAAATATTTTCCCGTACGGCCCGACCTAACACATTCAATAAACATTTTAATAAATGACCATCGTTCTACCCAGTTTTGGCTCGCAGCTCCCCGTGCCGCCGCGCGACTTCATTTTTTTATGAAGAAGGGAAATTAATCGTTTCATCCTACTTTCGTCCAGCATGTTAGTTGAAACTACTTACCAAAACAGACGAATAACAAGGAGAAGCGTGAACGAAACATCTTGGCTCTCAACACACGATTGCAGCAAATTCTTTCGTCACCGCGCACAGAGAGAGATATAAAAAAGAAACTACAACTTCACCTGTATTTATTTGGAAACTGCATGAATCTTGTGACGTTTCAATTGGTAATATTCGTGTTTGAGTGCCGTTTGCATCATCAATATATTTGCTGCTCCTTTCAAAATGTCGTGAACATTTGAGTACCACATTCTCATTCGACCGTAACCGATCAAAAAAAAGAGTTTTAGGAGGAGCGTGTAACTGCTCACATCGCAACATTAATTTATTATCATCTTTTCTTAATCCTTTCTCTTCTCTTCAGTGAGTAATGAAATTGCGTGTAGATAATTAAAATCGTTTATTTCTGGTTTCGATTATTTTGGCCCAGAGACTATTTGAACAAAGGGAAGTGATTGTTGAAGCAATATTGTTGTTGATGGAATGTATAATTTTGGAAACTTTCACTTGAGAAAATTTGCACGGACAGTCTGCCATAGCCACAATGTCTACAATCCTTTTTGTGTACCAAGAAAAAGTTGCTATTTTGATAATCTGCCTCTATTATCCAATTTTATAAAAGCACAAAGGCTTTTAACATGAAGCCTGAATTATGGGTCGACGTATATCAGACATTGTTTGAAATTTCAGTTTGCAAGGTTGCGTGATACACCTGCTATGACCCTGAAGCCACTTCTGGCGAATGAAAATGAAATCGCTATGAAGGAAAAACAATGAAAAGCGTTCCCTTTTCGTTTTTGCGAAACAAGTTACATTTTCACGGACACGAAAGGTGTCTACAAACAAAGATACTATCAAGAAATTTTCAAAACTCGCGTCTCTAACTACTATCTACTATGGAGCTACTGTGTAGGCCTACAGAGCTTTATCAGAATATGCACGGAAGTGCAATTTTTACTCAAATTTGAGGCCAAGAAGGCAATATGTGCGCATAAAAGATCGAAATTCATGGCCACCCTAAAAATACGATCTTAAGCGTGAGATCCCATCTCTCCCGAACCTGTATAATATAACAAATATAAATATAAAGGCTTTTGTATAATGCAGAATTTAGTCACGCAATGATTCCTCATTAAATTGTGATGTGGAGAAAAAAGGATTAGGCAAACTTTCTAATGATATTTCAATATTTGTTATATTTAAGTAAATAAAAATTGCGTGCAAGAACCAACCCAGAATAACATCATTGCGCGGGGTATTGTCTCAAGGTTTCTGCCTAGAACGATAATCCAAGGGCTTAGCCTTCGAAACATCATTTCTGTGCACACTTAAAAGACACTTTGCGGTTTGTTATAAATGATTTGAATGTACTTAATCATTTTATAACGCTCGTGCGACCCGGTTCGATGCCGACAAACTCCGCCTCCAACAACGAAATAACAAAGTCACCATGTAGAGGACTGAGAAAAAGTAAAAGTAGAGAAATTAAGATAAATTGAAACAGTAAAATGATAGCCTCTAGAAGTCACTGATTGTTATGGGACCGTTGCTTCTTGTAATAATTGATAAATGTCACGAAAAAATGAGGCATCGCGAGATTCCCGAAGCTTCTAATTAATTTTATGCATGTTTACTTTCTGTGTACTTGCTGCAACGTGAAGATTCCTCGATTCCCAACGCATTATCCTTGCTGAATGGACAAAAGCTGAGATTATTCAGAATAATGCCGGAAACTTTTGACAGTCTCGATTCTGATATTAATAATGACAAGTTCGCGGCCAAATGAAAAATCATCACACCTTAACAACCCTTTCGATCAAAAACAGACCACAACAAAATACAATATATTTGAGTCCATGTCAATTAAAAATATCTAGGGTGATAACTTTATTGCAAAGAAAAAAAGGCGGTTGTCATTGGCAACGCGACAGTAAGTCGGGGTGCTGTAATGTTTTTTTACGACAAACATGAAAAAGATAACTTCATCAGAAAATTAAATAAATTAAAAGAAGAAGCGAGAATTGATAACGACGGACAACAAATCGTGCAGTAGGGGTCCAAAGTGCGTGTTTCATTTATTCATTCATCCATTCATTAATTTTTTTTCATTCCTCGATTTTATTTCTTACTTTGTTATTGTAATGCTGATCTAACGTTAGCATTTGTAACAGCAAAATAGTTAATTGTAAATCAAAAGTACGCAAAGCTTTTACTTAGCTCTTGAAACGTTAGACTAGTTTAATATTAAAAGTGATCTTCTCTTACAGCAAACATTTTGATAGAAATAAAAATGTTGTGAAAAAAACAGAGGTAAATAAATAAAGAAGTAATGCCGCGTCTTTGGACTTCCCTCAGGCCAGGGCGCTCTTGCTAATAATCCTCAGTTGAGACTGGGAATGATTTTGACGAAAACTACGTCAACTTACGGCCAAACACGGCCATTTTCCATAACTGGCGCCATCGCTGAAATTTTAAAACAGATATTCTGCCAATATCATCTAATTTTCTTTAATGATGACAGGCGTGTTACTCGTAGCAGTTTTCTTTTGTTTGTTACTGGGTAAGTGAATTTTGCTTTCAAACACATTCAATGATTACACACGCTCTACGTTTGCTGTAAATTGAAACCAGATGCAGAATTCAAATTTTCTACTGTTCTGAGTTGTTTGTTTTCAGACTTTTCTTCCTTATGAGGAAGCAGAAATGAAAGATTTCCTCTCATTATCTAAGCAAATCAAGCGAAAAATGGCTGCTTTCTCTAGTAAAGGTCTTAAACTGTATTAAATTGAGAGAATTTGTCGTCATGCAAGCGTTGCATTCGCAATTCGAATTTATCTAACGGTTAAAACAGGTTCATTTGGAACTATTTTTGACGCCTGGAATTTATATTTTGAAGCTCTTCACGACAAAAGGCTATAAGTAATTCGCGATGCTGAATATGCCAAATTCTCGTAACTTTTCAATCGCTACCACTTCAAGCTAATGTCATATTTGTTTATTTCCAGGTCAATGCACCCATTCTGGTTAGATTAGTGATCACTTGCTAAGGAAGTCTATATTTATTTATGCTTCACATAATACCCGTTGTGGCATTTATCAAAATTGGATGAAAGAATATGAAGTTCCATTCCATTTTTTATTATCATACAGAAAATTTAGTAAATTGATTCGTTGGGCTATTCTTTCTTGCTGAACTCGGCTTCGTGGTTATACCTTTTAACGAAAACATAAACTCACTGATATTTCAAGTTTCTGTTAACTCGAGAATCTTGTCATTTTTCATTAAATAAAATTGAGGATGTAACTTAGTTTGTCAGGTGTAGTTCAATTTTATCTTTCCATTTCAAGTCTGATATTGTTTTGATTGTTGTTTTGATAAAGTTGTTTGTTTGTTTTCACACAGGTGCAAACCCTGAGGCCGGTCATGCCGATGAAGGTCACAACGCAGATGGCATGGAGGTGGGTTCAGGTGGCGTGTTTTGTAAAGCTGTTGCCCGTTCAGGGAAAATCATGTGTGCTCGTCCTCAGAAAGGGAAAATACAAGATTATAGCGAGAAAAACGTCGATCGCATCGTCATTGAGTTCGACAGTTTGCAAGAGAAGAACAGTGGTGGTAACATGGTTGGAAAAGCCGGACGGAAAGGACATCAATTTGACTCGTTTGCTGGTCAAGACTTTAATTTTGCCGGCTTGAAAGATGTAACGTATCAAGGGCTTCATGCAAAAAATTTCAATTTCTCTTCTTCTCTACCCGGGCCGAATGCAACCTTTACGGTTTTGGCGTACATGTTTGAAGATTTTGGAAACATCACGTTCGGGAACGAGACTTCAGAGATGAGGAAGGGCATGCTCAAATTTAACATTCAGGTATGGCTAATAGTATGAAGATTAGGATCAGAGAATTGTACTCGACTGAAAACATGAAATTTTGTCGAAGGTTACACCAAAACATTTTTACTATGCTCAATCGATAATTCAAAACAAAAGCTTTAAGGGCGCCTCATCCTCCCCCTCCCCTCACCCCTCTCCCTCACACCAACTTCCCATTCCTACCACCAACAGGTAAGACTTGCCAAGAATATAAGGCTTATTTATACCACGAAATTTTCCTGGATCAAATTCTTAAGTGCAAGAAAGGAAAGCAGGCTCACTGTTGATAGCACTCAGGCTACGGAATTTATTTCTTGTTGATCTGTAACGCCGAGGGAATTTTTAAGAAGCTTAGTCATTTATATGTTTTAGATCACGGTCTGGTTTTATTCACTGACAAATCAACACAAATTCTTGTACATAATATCCAGCTGGCTCCTGTTCTTCCCTTAATTTCCCTAGTCTTCTGCAGATTTACTAGCTACAATGTTTGCTTAAAATTTCTAAAATCCACCATGGTGCAATCCCTTCACTTACCAACACGTAGAAGTCTACCAATGGTTTTTCCCAAGAGTCACCGCCTTTCAAACGGAAAGGGTTATTTAAGTGTTTTTCTGGGATACTTCAGCCGTTCCAACCTTGGTTTTCTCCAAGAGAGCACGACGTCCGTTGGTGCTTAGCGCCCTTATCGAAAGAATTAGCACGATTTGCATTACACGGACGGAGATGTGCGAAGAACTTCAGCATTAACTGTCTCTTCTTTTCAGATTGAAAACTGGAAATTTTGCTCCAATTCAAGTGATGACTGCGAGAGTGCTGATCGAGGAGAATTTATAGATGTCACTTTAGTCATCAAAAGTAGAGGAAAACCAAAGTTTCGTTCCGAAGAAGAAAAAGAAAAGCTATTAAAAAAAGCTCGCGCCGGACAACACGGTGGACATGGAGGAGGAGAGGGACATAACCATAACGGTGGAGATGGAAAAGAAAAAGTTTCACAGGAATACTATCCCAGGTGCTTCAAAAGGGGGAAGTACAACAAATGTCCCAAAGAGTTTGATATCGGAGGGGGATCAGACATGATGCTCAGCTCACAGGTAAAACATTATAAGTTCACGGGCGAAATGCACTAAATTTCTCTGTGAAGAAAAAAAAACATAAACTAGCCAAGAAAACCATTTTAAAATGTCAGATGGGCTATCAGTTTACTGATAAGTCTTGGTCTTGGAACATACGCCCACGACCTCCTTTACCTCGATGTATCTATGAATTAAGTGAACAAAGAACAGCTGTTCTTTGAAGCAGTCTCCCAGCCTAAGAGAAGTTGCTCAAGATTAAGGCTACATGTCGATTCTATTAATCCTTTGGATGTGATCATTATGGTTAGCACCAGACCACTTATAACCAAGTTTACATGCTTCCAATGGTACTTAGGATAGGAAGTGTTTGGCTAATAAGCTTATATCATGAGTCCTGGTGTTGCTTATTTTGTATAATTTTATACATAGAAAATACTCCTGATTAACTTTTTACTTACGTCTTAACATATATATATATAACTAACTGCAGACAGTACTGTTTCGGCCTTCTGGGCCTCATCAGTGCAGTGCTGATGCTAGGATGGAGGTAAGACCATATAGCCACCCCAAGTGATCTCACATATGTGGGATCATCTAAGCCATGCCAGAGTGCTCAAACTAGAAAAACTAGTGAGCATGCATAATGCTAGCAGCAATGACTATATATATATATCTATATATAAGTAATCATATATTCCAGCTCTTACTCAAAACACAAAGTACTCCAATTATATTTGTCAATTCATGTAATTATTTGTCATAAGGTGAGAAGGGGTGCATTAAGATTTTTGTTGTACACAATTGGCACGGTGATGTCCCATTATTTTCCCTTGACTTAAATTAAAACATGGGGTGACGGTTTTCGAAATTACATCCTCTATCCCTGGGGGATGTTGAGTTTCGACTCGGTGTCATGTCATACTAATACTGTAGTGTCTTAAATACATAAACACAGTATAAATTCCGAGTTACAACACACACATGGCTAGAACGCAACTTTGTACACAATTCCGAGTCACGTGATAATCGCACTAGTCCCAGGACTCTACAATTGCAATATTGGCAGAGTGTAGAGGGCGTGTCAGGCGTGTCTTTCCCCTCGGCCCCCTAGAGGCAAGAGGTGCAAAACACAGGAATACCACTGATGATAATCACCTGGCCTGCTATATTTGTTGCAGGTGATGGTGGACGATGTTGTGATGGATATGCCTGGAAATGGTGAATATCCTAAGTATAAGGAACTCGGAAACAAACAAAAATTTATCTTCCGATTTCCGAAGGCTGCAAGCAAGATTTTATACGATCCAGGCCTTGAGGTCGGAGCGCAGTCTAGTAATGAGAACAAAGTAGAGTCTGGAAAAGTTAACGTTCTGATGTTCGTTACTTTTCTAGCTTACCTTTTCACTTTTTGAGGATAAAAACCTGGCGCTTTGGGTTCGGATGCATAGATAATTACTTAAAATGCTTTTTGAATGCGTATCCAGTAAGAAAATGACTTCGTCTACAGGGTTTAAGTTTTATTTGTTCATTTGTATGGTTTGCTCGTCCTTCTTTTAACGCCATGTCCACATTAAAGTGCTGAATTACGCGAACATCTTTATCAAGACTATTTTTATCCTTTATTAGTACTGAATCATCCGTAACTTGAATTTCCGATTTGTTGGCGAGCGCAGGGAGTCATGTGATGTTATACCAATAAGTTAAGAATATACCGCAAATCTTACTTTAAAATTTGAAGTTAGATTCAAGACGGCAGGGGTGGTGGGGGCGCTTACTTGCATAAGCTTTCCCGAATCCAAGCCATAGTGATAGGTGTGACAAAAAGAGCGTCGTTCAACCGCTCTATTTTGTAATTATTTTGTCTTCTATCATTCGATCTACAGCTGGTCTTAAAAGCAGTGTTTTTTTTTTCACGCTGAACAACCGCTTAAGGTGAGGCCTAGCTATTTTTTCCAGTCCTGTTTGTTGTCCTTGAAGATGGCAGCCCTACCCGAAGCTTCTCAGATATCTCAAATGAAGAATTCACAGAAAAACAGGTTAGGCTTATCAAATAGTCAGTTGGGCTTATCATCCGCGAGAGGGCTGGATCGAGGGAGCCTTTCAATCAGTCCAGAATTCGATGAATATCCCTCTTGAGGAGCTGCTGGGAGCAGACTTTTGACAATTTCGGACTGCTAGTAAGACGAACGAAGTTGTTCATGAAGACATATAAATCTAAATACGTCGAAAATCTTATTCCGATTAGAAACATATTTCAACGCCCAATTTCTGGTACTATTCCTCCGATAATGTAACATTTTTTTAATGTAAACACGTACTAGCAACTTGCTAAGCCATAAATGAAACTCATGGGATGATGTTTTCATCTCACTATTTTGTGTATCATAATATCTTCTTGTACCTTTTCGTCTTATTCTCTTGTTTTTAAAGCCAGGAAAAGTTTCGGTTAACCCAACTCCACAAGGCTGATTCTTAAGTATGATTACGCATATTATACCGATACAAAACTTTTATCTTGCCTCAGCGAATTAACTAGCGGTTATTTGCCCAAGGCGAAGTCAATATTACTCGACAGTCTCCCAATCGAGTTGGCAGGGGTAACTCGACAGTCTTTGCTCATCCGAAAGAGGGAAGTATCTCAGAGAATTATCTTGATATTTTCAAAGCAACTGTAATTTCTTTCGTTTCCTTTGTTTCTTTTCTAAAACTCAATTCCCAGAAAAAAATATTGTCTTCCGGACGAATAAATACTTAAATGCCTTACGGAGTTTGAATTAAGCACTTTTGTGTGCTTGACGCCGTAAAATTTAATTTAGACTAGAGTCGGTGAGTCCAAAAAAGTGTTATTCACCATATGCTTCAAATTATAAGAAATGCGTCGAGATATTTCCATATGATTTAAATAAAAATAAAATACTAAACGTTCACACAAATTTCAATTTGAAACTAAATGTTTTCCGACATTTAGTATAAACAAATATCATTGAAATAAAATTCTTTTATCGTAGTCGTCTAAAGTACATTGCTCTGCGATTGAAACTTTTGTTTGATCTGTTCGGCTTATTTAAGCGTCCACAAAATTCATCCGTTTTAATAAAATTTTGCACAGTTCTCTCGGCAGAATCTTAGCTCTCTATCTTGGTGTATCTGCGAGTATATGAGATGATAGATGAAATTCACATTAAACTGAAACGGAAGAACGCCCTTTCTGAAATGCGTTGTTTGGAACGTTAGAGTTTCGTAGGTGGTAATAAATTATTAACATAAAAAGTACCTTAGATTAAAGCTGTAAACATCCTAAAATTGGCTTTTGCTAAAAGCTTTTTCTAATTTTCAGAATTTAGCATATTACGCCACCCCTTCTTTCATCTGTAACTAGAATTTTCTCTAATTTATTTTTCCACCTGCTAGGTCTTGCTCGCCCAAAAAGAGACCAGCCGGTGACAAGTTTTCAGTTGTATACGAGTTTTTGTCCTATATCAGCTTTATTTAATTTACTACAGCTTATCCTGACAATTACATCGTAGTTTTGCAGAGGTCAAGAACAGCCGTGAGGCTTGGCGATTAAGCGATCGCTTAGTTTGATAACAGCTATTCACGTTATCTCCTTCGGTTCAATGAGGAATGGAATTTAGAAATTAAAGACATCGTTCAAAGCAAAAATTACACTGTCACTGATAAAAATCTTATCGTGTTTTCTCAGTTGCTGCTCCTGTTGCTTTTTTGCCTTTGTATTTTTAGTATGTTGTTGTTTCTTTAATAAGACTTTAGTTGAGGATCTTTTCCAATTTTCAAAACAAAACCACTTCCAGTGCTTTTAAAACTGATTCATCCGGCTGATATGAACGGAGAAATTCACAGGTACTCAAACATGTCACACGATACTTCATCTTTTCGACAGCGCAGCATAACTACCTTGCTTTCCTTGTTTCATATGTCACATTAATTTCTGCCTTTGGTCATTTTGAGATAGACAACCTAGATCATTCATAGCTAAGGCTAAAACTATGCGCTGGGGAATATATTTATTTATAGTTGACTAGTGGAGGGAAGTGGCAAAAACCTCAGGCTGAACTTCGAATGCCCCGCTTTTCTGGAGTAAGCACTTCGTTTGCCTGCAACGTAAGAGGGAAGGTTCCTTACTCTCTTTTTTTTTTTTTTTTTTTACTCTGTGTTGTGGTTCTAACGAGTATCACCAGTGTCGATCCCCAGACCAGTTATTCTTGTATTAAGCGCACTTTAAAAAATGATTTTAACATTACGGTTTTCAATTAAGAGAGCAAATTTCGAATTGGTCGTAAGGTTTGTTTCACCGCACTAAGCCAGTTCACTCTACATGCGATATGAAAATAATCTACAATTGAAGATAATTTGATGACGAAAATAAGTTTCATGGTAATTTAAACGACTTTTCACTTTTCCGTTTCACATTCGTTTTCTAATTCCTGAATAAATGTTTATATTCTATATTCTGTGCTGTGTGATACTACTGTAACAGTTTTAAGATCTGGAAATCTCTTATCCTTTTTTTTTTTATTATTATTCATGCGGCTTAATCGGAGACTCCACAAAATGGAATGAGTACGCTGAATGACTTATTCATCATTCGATAAAGCGCTTCCTAAATTGAAGTGAAATTCTTATACTTAACGATAGTGTTATCAGGCTTATAGCAACCACATCAATCACATCCAATGTGAACACACCTTGCCCGAACAGGTCGTCTGATAAACACACTAATCCGAGTTTTATCAGGCGGATGTTTTTCGTTATGCTTTAAGAGTTCCATTCTTTACTTTTAAATCTTATTTCTATGAGGGGGTGATTTATGCAATTAACTCTGGTTTTGCCATTTAATCTTCCATATCCGGATGGCCCATGATTTGCCTTCATTAAGTATTCACTTTTTTTTTTTTTTCAGCCAAAGCTTTAGGATTAAATTATATCTGAAATTACGGTAATTTGTCAAAGTCAGAGTTCCTAGACAATTCTTTTCATCTAAATCTTAATTCGAAGTGTGGGTGATCCATGCAATTAACTTTGCTTTTAGCTCCTAATCTTCCATATTCGAATAGCTTTTGACCTGTCTTCATATCATTTCAACGGTAGGAATGTACTACAGGGATTTTATCTTTCACATTAATCTTTTATATTTTCAAAATTAAATTACTTTGAAATTAAGATCAATTCATAAATGCCAGAAATCTCAAAGGAAATCCAAACTCTAAGAACTTTCTTCATCCGAGAAAAGTTAGCAATTATGAGATTACAATATTTCCTTAGTTTATGGCGTTAAAACATTTTCTCTGCAGTAAACGGATCGAGTATTCTCGAGGCGTTTTACAAACGGCTTTTGGGGAAAACGGACAATTATGATTCCTAAATTATCATACTACACCGTTTACAAAATAATTACCGAGTTTCTCCTTCTGTTTCTTAATACTCTTTTTTTTTCAGAAAATTCATAAAAAAATTTTAATGTCTGACAGCGTTATCAGTATGGCATAGTCTGTTCATGACCTTATATAGAAGTAGTTCGTGTTTAAAAGGTCGCATCCTACTCGCTTTAATTTTTGCTTACTGTGAGACAATGTTGAATTTTGGTGAGTGATGTTGACATGTTTGTCCACTTGATACCGTCGTTTAGTTTATTATTCTGGTATCTTCATAAGCGTTTTGCTATCCTGTCAACATGATACTAACTGGCGAGAAGCTGAGAGCATTTTATGGGCGACAAAACAACGTGCACCCCTCCTTGAATCGTTTTTCCAGATTTTTGTTTCGTATGAATTTGTAAGAAAAGCAGTAATGCGTTATCAGTATGGCATAGTCTGTTCATGACCTTATATAGAAGTAGTTCGTGTTTAAAAGGTCGCATCCTACTCGCTTTAATTTTTGCTTACTGTGAGACAATGTTGAATTTTGGTGAGTGATGTTGACATGTTTGTCCACTTGATACCGTCGTTTAGTTTATTATTCTGGTATCTTCATGAACGTTTTGCTATCCTGTCAACATGATACTAACTAGCGAGAAGCTGAGAGCATTTTATGGGCGACAAGACGAATTGCCCCCCCTCCTTAAATCGTTTTTCCAGATTTTTGTTTCGCATGAATTTGTAAGAAAAGCAGAAATGCCGAAAGTTTTAAGATATTTTTGTCAAAGTTTTGAAATCATAGATTAACCCAGGAAGATATTAATGACAGAAGTGCCAAAGTCGCTTTTTCATAGACCAGCACATTTCAAGATCCTTCCATTAGTCATCATAATGAATTGGAAACTTTCCTCCCCATATCAGACACACTCCATCTTAATTGCAACTGGATTGTTTACATTCCGAACAAAAAACGGCTGCCGCTAGTCACACAGCACTTTTGCGTTTTTTGTTTATCTTTTCAGTCCACAAAAATAATTTGTCTTTCTGCATAACACCGGTACCAAGAGAACGAAAATGTAAACCTTTTACAGAAAACCACAACAGTTGTCGGGGAGGTATTGGAACACCCTCGCAGAAGTCGAGAATCTTCATGGAAATCCCTAACGATTAATTAAAATTCTTTTCTTTGATAAGTGTGAGTTATTTTCTCTCTGGTGGCTTTTTTGGCAATTTCTATCTTGAATAATGGTAAATATATTTAATTCAATCTTTATGTAATTAGTACGCTTTCATACAGAATAAGCCGGCCATATGGAAATCCGTATTTTAATGGTTATGGAACCTCTACATCCCGCATTTGAATTCTACGAGGGAACAATTGCATTTTGTAGCTTGGAAAAGGCTTTTTTTTCCTTTTTTAGAACGTGGCACATTTAATTTTCAGACATACTTTTTGTTTTTGTTCAAAGAATATCAAACTTGACTTGCATTTGAGATGGCGCACCCTGATTTCAGCGAGTTCGTTTCAACCTAAAGTTAATTTGATTTCCTTCCAAAAGGCATCGTTTATACTCAAAGACAAGCAGGTGGGATTTTGCATCTCTGGTCAAAAGGAATATCCATAGTTTTTATTTACTTTGTTCTACGGAGATAAAAAAATGAAAAATAGCTTTCGCAATCATATTGACACAAAGTCCCCTAAAGGTCAAATGTCGACATGACAAAAAAATATAAAGCGACTTTTCGCGGTGTCGCCTGTTAACCTCTTGCGATCTGCCAAGATATGCCAAATTGTGATATCTTTTCAATATGGTAAATCTGCAATCGAAAGACATGTATTCCGGCGTACTGCCAAATGTTTGCTCAACTAAAATCTCTTTAGCTATTGTCAGTTGACAATACTATATCTGACAAATTAAAAGTGATTCTTCTTCGAAAATAAAATATCATATATTCATGACAACATTTATTTTCTTGAGCCCCAAATCATCAACATGAGTTCGAAGACACGTATTCTTAGAAGCCGTTTTTTTCCTACTGGTAAAGGGCCTTTCACACTGGTTAAAATTTCAATTTTCAAGTCGTTTGATTGCAGGTCGTCCATATGCATTTCAAGTGACAAATTGGGTCAACAACATGTCAAAATTTGAGTCTCTAGAAAAGTATTTCTTACAGTAATTTCTAAAGAAGGTTTCTTTCATTGTCAGGTACGTATCTTTTTTTTTTTTTAGACTATTCAATATTTTGGTCTTCGACAAGAAATCATTAATTCATAAACAGGCGTTGTAACTTGTCTGGGAAACCGCCAAAAAATTTAACGCAGGATGATATGGGCAGATTCTCTGTTAAATTCATTTCCCAAAGAAATTGTGAAATGAAATATGGATCCAGTCAACGGCTTTTCAGCTGCATCTCAAGAAGCATTCTCATTAAAATTATTCGCTTTTGGCGGAAAGAAGTCATACAGTAAACCTGACATGAAGACAATACATAATTTTTATTTTCTGACATCTTTTATACAAAAAAATCCACCCAACATTAATCACGTTAACATTTCAATGTGTAGAGATAATTAAGCAATTGAGGCCTCCTTTGCATAGAGAGCTGAAAAATCCCAGTTAATCTCGCAATCATGGCAAATCCTTGCCAATCATTTATTAAAGTCGACCGTAATGATTTCAAAGCATTGTCTCGCTGTTCATGAGCAAATACTTCGCTTTTGTTTGTTTGCAAGAATACACAATACCACCTTTCTCCAACTCAGTTTATTTCATGAACATGCTGTATTGATTTTTGTATTAAAAAGCAAGCTTTTAAGTCGGCGGTTCTTTTGTAGTTTAGCTACAGTTGACATTACAGATTTTAATATTCTAGCGAATTTTTTACCAAAATGTCAGTTCAAAGGCTATTTAACAGGCTTTTTAAATACTCTTTACAAAAATGAAAAGCTATCTAGGATTTCGCAATTGTATTTCTTGTTTTAGAGAAATCGTGCCAATATGTAGGCTTCTAACTGTATTTTCCTTATGATTATATAAAACACGAATGATTTCAAAGTAAATCACAATTCATATTGAGTTTTAAATTCATTTCATAAAAGCTTTATAGGGAATCAAGGTGTCACCAGCCCAGTCAAAAACTGTAACACAAATATTTCAATTTTTCTCTTTTCTGCAAAGAAAAAAACAAGACTTTTTAAAGATTTATGCCACCCTGGTCGCAAAAAACCAAACGAGATATTAATATCAAGTCGTAGTAACATATCAAATTCGAAAGGAAAAAACAGCAGGACAATTAGTAATCTAAAAGCAAAACCGCCAATATTTCGTTCAGTTTAGTGATGTGCCTGAAATAGCCTCCTCAGAAATATGTCGACCGAAAGAAACCGTGCGGCATCGGAAAAGACGCAGAAACGCGTTCCTGAAGTCGCGCTTGAAAAACGCATACACCGCGGCGTTCAACAGCGACCCTGCTGTCATGGTGTACCACGAAACTGTCCAGAGTACAGGTGGAATGATATCGTCTCTTTGTAAAGCATCCGCGGCGGTCATGAAGAACACAGGCATCCAGCTTATAACGAAGATACCTGCTATCATAGCGAAAACTCTAGCCACGCGCCCCTCGCCAGTGACTCGTTTACCTTCGCGAGCAGTCTGTTGTTGATTATCGTAAGTTGCAAGTTTTGCAAGGTTCTTTACCTGTCGCGCGACTTCACGGAAGATTTTGATGTAGGCGAACAGGATGAAAATGTAAGGAACTACAACACCGCCTACAATGAAGAACAGATAGACTTTTTCTGCAGTTGTACCTTTCTCGTTGCCCCAGATCAACGGTAGAAGGCTCAATGGAATGGGTAAAATCCAGGCCGTGAGCAAGATTTTGGCAAAATGTCTAGTCATCGTGTAAGAATATCGCAGCGAGTTCATAACGGCTAAATAGCGGTCCAGCGTTACCGCAAACAAATTGGTAACGTTCGCAAAAAGAATAAGCGACACCAGATATCCTCTGGCAGGGTTGGATTGGTCCGCTATGTTCACTGGAATTAACACAACACCAAAGAGGATATCTGAAAGGGCCAAAGACACTATAAAACCGTTTGTGAAAGTTCGCAATTTGCGGAAGCGATACACCAGAAAGCAGACCAGGAGATTTTCCAACGTAATTAAAACGCCAAGGATACCCAAAGGTATTGCTTCGCTGAGCGGTTTTGTCGTCGATTCTGTTTGATTAGCCATTTTTTACACGGATAATCGATTCAAAGGTCCGCGTTGGCCACAGTACGTCCCGATGTGATCGCAAATTTCAATTAGCTTGTGAATCGAATCCGAGTCGCGGCGGGGTTCCCCCTAAAGCAATTCAATAACTTGTTTCTTCGTTCAAATTCAGAATTTCACGATGTCCTGCGCGCCTTGTATTGTCTCGTTTTTCTTTGTACTCTCACTTTTAAACACACAATTCTAACCAGATGTTTTTCGTCCACTAATCGACAAGCATCCGTGGTCATTCTGTTGAAAAGCCGTGAAGAGCTCTATCGATGACTCGGAATCCCCTTTTAAGCTCTGCACGGTTCTAATTCTGCCAATCGGAATTCTTCTATGGGAAAACAAAGGCTTGCATGAGTGGAGTCACACTAAAGTGTCTTTGTCCTTGAATTAGCAACTCAGTTGGGCTGGCTTGCTTTATCTACAATTAGTGACCGACAACCTCTCTACCAAAATGCGAGTTATGTCCAACCAACACAAGGGGATAAATATGAATAGCTTAGTTTCCTTTTTCGCGGTAATTGAAAAACCACTTTACTGGTTCAACTGACAGGTAAACAAAACATAATGATCCATCAAAACTTTTTGCGAACCACAACATAGTTTGAAGCTTGCGTGTTACTCAGAAAAAGCAACATGCACGCAAGACTTGTCGAGCAAAATAAAAATCTGACTGAAATTATGTAATTTTTCACCTGGACTAAAAGACTATTGTGCTTGCTTTTTTCACAGGGAATTTTCTGAAACGTTATTTTTGGCTATTTTTATTGTCAAGGTGCATAGCATGCTTTTCTCGTTCCAGGAATTCGGCAAATAACATGTTCGTTCACAGCTATATTTTATAACAACAAAGATATGAAATAAACTCCGTCGTAGCTTGCTAAGTGGCGTCTACTCGGACGAATCGTGTCCAAAAGCATTGCGAGAAGATATTCCGCTCTCGCGGTGTAATTTATCTTCTGCTCAACAAACTCTTCATTGTTCAGCTGTTCCCGCATGTCGCGAACTTTTTAATTCAAATAACGCTGAAGTTGGGGTAGACTCATTGTCTACGGAATCTTTGAATGAGTTGTTTATTGCATTAACTGTAGCTCAAGCCTCTAGAACAGGTGTTTCAATAACAAAATTTGTTTATATTCGAAGTGATGTTTGTTTCGTCGAATAGTACTTGTCAATTCCATTTATAACATAGCTAGTAAATTTGTCTAATCAAATTCAATTGCGCGAGTGTGCTTCATATTCCTATTGTGCACGCTCATGACGTCAGCAAAAAACAATCCCTTGGGAAAAAATTTTCTTATAAAACAATTGGTTCATGCGTCAGCTGTGCGTTCATCGAGATATGAAGCACTTGCGAAGTTTTGGTAGCACTCAAGAAGCTAGAGTTGCTCGAGGCTACGCCTCGAGCAACTCTTACGCATCTTTCTTCTTCTCCAAACTTCCCGCCTGCTTCATATCTCGATGAACGCACGCTGACGTATGAACCAATTGTTAATTATAACCCTAACCTCCACTGGACGCCTCGCTTTGCTCGTGCATCATAAGGCACATCCCGGATGTTTCCACGTTCGAGATAATTTGTTTTGGATCATGTTAAGTTTTCTTTACACTTTTTGCTGCAATGAATTTTCTTGAAACTTTTCCCGTGAACCAGGCTTTCGGATATTTTTTTCTTCATTAGGAAATGCCAACCTCCTGTCCACAATTATGTTTGCCCAAAATAGCACAAAACACCAGAGGCAATGTACACTGAGACATCAATACCGCCATTGGGAATGATAGAATACAATTGTATCGCAAATAAGCGACAGAAAATAGGATAAACTCGGAGAGATTCAAATTTAACTGTATTTTCATGAACATGGCATTTTTGTGCTTGTCCATCTATTTGCACTAAAGACATTTAGTAAAACAAATCGAGCTCAATGCTTATCAATAGAGATGCAAATTAAACCTACGCTGGCTTTGAGCATCTTTTTTGAACACTAAATTGACCTCGCGTGTAGAGTGAAATTTGACTCCCTGTCTCTAAGCACGAGAAAACGAAAGTTAGAAAGCGTTTGATGCTTTGTTGGTTACCTTTTCCCGCGATACATTTCAAGGCACATTCTTTATATTGAACTGAGCCATCTGTAGTCTTAAATGAGAAGGGTTTATCCGGTCATAAAACTTAAAAGCAAATTAAATGACACATTTTAGGCACTTCCTTTCCTCCTGAGACTTGAATGAGAATCTTAAAAAAACTCGACACTAAATTGACATCTTTAGACATAAGGAGTCCTCGGTAGATCTTAATGAGAAGCACCAAACGTGCAAGCTCTGAACTAAACCTTATATAAGCTTTACATTTCGTAATAAACAGCTGAAAGGCTCTTTGGCCTCCTAGTTTATCGTGATGTAAATTGTTTTAATTGAAATTTAAATCCTTCTCGAATGAGAGCTCGAATGGAGAGCACTAAAGCTCCATGAAACGAAAGAAAAATACTCAATACTGAGACTTGATTCATTTTTCGACAACATACGAGAGAAAAAACACTATATTGCTAAACAGTGTTACCGAGACTTAAATTCAGTTCAGAAAAAACATTTTTCTTTAAACGAAATTTACATTTTGTCATTAGTCTCACATTCACATGCAACATATATTTAATTGTTGCAAGGAATCGAGTAGTTTACTCACGATATATACTCTCTTTACGTGTTACATGCACAATCTCAATGTTCCTCTCAATGTGTCTTGTATCGTATAATAAGGAGTTTTACCATAGCACTTGTCACTGCACCGTAAATGAAAGAATATTTGTGGCGTCTTTACGGAGGCTTGTATACATTCGTGAGTACTACGAGATGTCTTTCCAGACCACTGTACCTGAACCGTGCTGATGACAATATTTTCAGAATCATTGTCTATTGCAGACCTAAAAGACAAACCATTAAACTTAGCAGAAAGCCTTTTTTCGGAAGGAATGTTGTCACTCTTCGAAAACAATTCAGCGATGTCTCTCTTACTGTACCCCTCTTTCAAAAGCTGGTACAACGTAGTATGGAGAACATCCAGTTCGGTTGTTTCGCTCTCTGAATAAGATATTTTCCGTACATCGTCTCCATCAAAGTCATGCCCTATCTCAACCCCGTCTTTCGAATCATCAGCGACAAAATATTTTTTGGCACGCTTGAATATCTTCGTTGAGTTCCGAATGACTTTCCTCAACCTAAAGTGCGGTCGTTGTTTGCTTTCATCAGGAATACCGGAGGGAAAATCGTGACTTTTTCGGAAGATGTCAATAAAACACCAAAAGTGACCTGGTCTGTCAGGATCATGCTGTCGCCTTCTCATACCAGGAAATTGTGCCAGAGCGCTGTTTGAAGTTGTGAACTTCATCAAGTATGACATTTTTTATGACATGGTTTATGGAAACTCATAACTGATGAAGGTTTCACGGCAAATGGCATTGCACAGTCCCTCAATTTTCCTTGCGAGTTAACCAAGGTTGAATTACATTACGTTGCAAACTGAAATTTCACATTAGTAGTTAAATGATACCGATTGAGCTTTTTTCAGACTTTTCCATTTCGATTCTTAGTTGGATAACAATAGAAAAGGGCCACTTTAAAATAAGTGCATACACCGACACCGCTTGCGGCTGGTAAATGTACTTTAAATTTCCTGCTAAATTGGATTTGGTCCTTAATTCATAGGAGTTTAAACAATTTTTAACTCTCATCACTTTTAAAGCAGGCTAGTCCTGAAGTTTAGGTGTTGTCATGGGCAATTCTTACCGTACTTGGTTTGCTATGCCCTCATTTTCACAAACAAAGGACTTCATCCTTTTGTAGTTTATCACGGCGTTTAAGCTCTCTCATGAATTCCACTGCCACAAGGGTCTTTCCCGTCCCAGCGACTCCCTTTATCCATAACTCTTCGTTTGTCTTAGTCAGCTAATGAACCAACTGGAACTGTTCCTTGGTAAGGAGATTGAAAATGGTTACTCCTAACTTGCTGGACAAAGTAGAGGGCACAGCAGCAACAGTTTTCACCATAGCTTTGAGTATTTCATTAAGTTTCGCTCGGGGAGTATGGAAATCATAAGACTTCGGGTAGCGATCGTCAGGTAATAGGCGTATCACTTCTCCGCCTGCGCGACATGGTAGCACGTGGTATGACAGATAAAACTTTTGGCCCCTTGCGCAATTTTCGGAAAGATGTTTCTTTATGGACTTTGCAGCCCTTTTACTATATTTCAGAGACTTCTCATCTGCTGCATCGCAGAGACTGTACAGGTGAGGTCCACCGATGTTTCTGCTGACTAGAAAAACGTCACAGATGACGCTATCGATTGCAATACCTCCAGTATCGCGAAGCCAAGAACGTGATACAGCCAGAAAACCCCGATTACGTCCCTGCAACAAATTTTCTGAGTGTTGCGAATCGCTTCCTGTGCCAGTACTGGAAAGCTAGACTCTACACCTCTCGGTGAAATGGGAACTTCTCATCAACTGCAATTAAAATATTTAAAAACTGAGATAAGAGACCTTTAGACAGAGAGAACATATCAGAAAAATACTCGTGATGAAAATATCCCCTGGTCCATTAGCGTCCACGTATTGCAATTCTTCGTTCCTGTGGCTAATCGCACACAGGATTATGTCAACCGAGAAATATGGAAGCAACAAATATTGTACGCATCTCTTAAGTAAGTGCACATAGAGTACCTCACAGTGGCTTCCATGAATCGCAGGAAGGGAATTGTCAGTTTGGTTCAAACACTATCTTTCATATCAAGGTAAGAAAACAAAATATTACGGATGGAATACTTTTCCTGTGTCCTATGGAACAGCTCGCTCAACCACGCCTGTTCTTTCCCTTTTTTTACCAAGTATTCAGACGCCAGCCAGTTGCTGAGAAAATGTTTATTTGCCTCAAATAATCTTGCTTTTCTTAAGATGAGGCAGAGATCTATGTTGTGTGCATGTATAGACGAAAGTTTATTTCGACCCAATATCGTTCTTCTTATTATACCCCAGAGATTAATGTTGAGTTAGGGAGGGCTAGGTGCGCAGTTGTTCAGACACTGACATTGATCAAATTCTTACCATACGTCTGTGAGACTTGAGGCTGAATTGACAAATTTTCAAAGTAACTGTCACACTTTTGATAAAGAAGAGCTCTCCATATTCAATATTCAAGCTTTTTAGTCCGCGATAAAGAGCGGAGAGGATCTCTTTACATTCAGCTTCTCAGTTTTTCTTGATGTAAATCATTTTACATTAAGATTTAAATCCCTCTCCATAAGATTTCGTCTGAGGATCACTGGAATCGTTTAAGCGGAGAGAAAAATCTTTACATGTGATATTTTGATTTAATATTTCAACCGAGTAGATGAGAAGACAGCAAACTATTTTCTGAAAAGTAACAAAGCAAACTATTTAGGAATTCTTTGA